TTATTTACCATTATATCCGTAAAACATGAAGTTTGTAATACATGGCGAAATATCACATACTACAGTGGTTGAGTAACCGATCAAATTAGATTCTAGATTCTATATATTCACTATTTAAGTTAAAAAAAATTTTAAAATGTTTGGAAATTTCAGTGAGATTCAACTGCTGTACTATAATTTGAAAGAAGAGTATTCCATACTCATTTATTCCACGTCTAACGAGCGCCCTGCTGAATTTTATAGCACCACCGAAATTGTGGTACAACAAGGAACTATTGATCAAACTAGTAAGTGGACTAGAAATCACTATTTTAATCTGTTGATTATGTTTGCATTTAATTGCGTCGAAAATGAGTTTCTTTTGTATGTGTTAGACATGGTTTTTAAAGTTTAGCAATCTGTTAGTTTACTAAGTAATGTTTGAAATGTCTGGGGCATTGAGATATGTTGCTGGATAACGCTGGTAACTCTCACTTGGGACAAATCACATCAATGGATACACTGTATATCTCTGCCGAATCAACTCTACATGATATAAACTGCATGAAGTAAGAAGGAATGCAGTCCCTATTTGATCTGATTACTAAAATAAACTTATTTTCTATTTCCTTTACCGTTCATAAAAGAAACTTTTCAGATAACCAAGAAAGTATATTCCTGAAAATTCGGTTCATTGGATAATTTTTCATGTCTTTAGTTCTCTACAAGATACACACGAAACATAAATGCTTTGAATGCGTATAAATTTTAAACACCGGTTTCAACATTTCAGTCGGTCAGCTGTAACATCAAACTTGGCACGTACGTACACCAGTTCCAGTTGCTAGGTCTAATCCCCCATAGTAGATGTGGTAGCGGTATTGATTGTTATGGAAAAGACTAAGGTTCGAAGATATGATGTAAGAAGAAGAATTCGGTGAACTAAACTCAAAAATCAAAAACACGGTTATGAGGAATTCAGTAGATTAGAATTTAAGAGAAGACAAAGAATGAACGCATCTAAACCACTACAAACGATTTTGATCCCCATCATTCAAAATCTCTAACCACCGGTTATGACATTAACTGCCTAAACTGCACCTACTAACATGGCTCAATCTAATTGTTGATGGCTAGGTGGACTGGTGCTATGTTTTAGTTTAACCACCTTCAGACAACATCGCTTGTCGAGGTAGTCAGTTGTAAGTAACACATGTCCCATCCACCATCAGCTTCACCAATTACCATCAGCTGATATCCTTTCATGATGCGGAATGATCAAAAAAATTTAGTTTCGTTTTGATATTGTGATAACTGGACTCCATTCTAGTATGATATTAAAATTAAAATAAGAAACTCTTTAAATGAAATTATTAAGCCCAGTGTCACCCCAATGTGTATTTATCTGTCTTGGTAATTAATATAAATCATGATGTACTTGGGAGCGTTTATTGTCACCTGCCAGATTACGGAGAATCCAGGTAATTTCTGTGAGTCATTTTGACGCCGCAGACCATAACCTTCACTTTTTTATCGCTCTCCATATCTTGTTATCGTCAGGAAATAGCGAAGTCCATGAAGGAAGACTAGGGAGGTCACTGTCGTAGAAGAAGAACTATACGTGTCTCAATACTGTAAAGTGAGGCGCTCTACTAAGCACAGTTTTTCAGATAGACAGATCAGATTTAACCCATACCATTCACTGACCCTCATCTAGGGAATCCTTTATTCACGTGAGTAGGTTCCCATCAACCATGATATCACTTAACCTAATTAAAAGTCAGTTATGAGGTACTTTTTTCGGAAGCATTTGTTAAGTCTGTTAAGGCTATAGATAGCTTTTGATCCTTACTATAGCACTAACTTTCACTGGTTTGTGATAAGTTTGTGAGACAATATCAACTACTTCTCAACCTATACTGCTTCCCGAAATCCGGTTTTCGGCTAAATATTTCAACAGCTCCTTCCAAATAATCTCTTTCAAAATTTTCAAAATCACGCTGGGTATGCTTAGGGAATTGTAACTTTCAGGTTTGCGCCTAATGCCTCTTTTGAAGACAAGACTTACTGTGGCGTTCTTCCAGTCTTTTGGCGAGGAAAAGTATCTTCATAGTAAATACATGAAAAAAAGTTCAAAAATTTATTTGTTTAAAACACTTAAATACTGGTGTACGTAGACACAAAAATATGTGTGTGTGACACAATTAAAATGAGGTTGTGAAGAAATAGAGAATGAACATCGAGGATTATGAAAAATGTGGTTAGAAATCAGTGCATAGGAATTAAATAATACTATTAATAGTGAGAGAAACAGCTCAGATACAAAATTTACAACCAGTAAAATTTTTCCAGGTAAGGAAGTTCCTCTCACTCACATTAAGAAAGCGAAAGTTACGGTAGGACCTTAACTGGCTTCTATTCTGAGCCAGGTCTGACGTCTCAAACGATTGAGTTGCAACATTGCTACGATGCCAATCAGAGAATAGTGAAGGACCAACAGAAGCCATGCCTGTACAGTTTCTTTTCGTACTGTAACACCATTCGATTCACCAACCAATCCTCCACCTCTTCCAATCACTCCCATCCTTTGCAACTAATGTGCGAGGTGGAATTTTTTGGGACATTATTCGTAGCATATAGCCAACCCGCCAGAGTTGACATTCCAAGATGGCAACACCAAGTGAATTACCGTCACTGCTCGTGAACACTCTCCGACGGACCTCTGCATTACCAACATGATGTTGCCACTGATTGTTAACAATCCTTCAGAAACGACGGTGATCGAACACAGAAAGCTTTCTAATACCTGGAAAGCTTGGCACTCAGATCATTCAGCACTCAACAAACACATCGACATTTACACAATTTATTTATTAAACAGAAGAATCATGGACAAACATAGGATAAGAAACAGATCAAAGTGGGATGGAATCAAATAAAACTGCATACAACGACAGGATTAAGGTTAACAACAATCAATCAAAATCGAGGTTAATAGAACTAGCAACTGGTCATGTGTGGAGAATTTCGAATACTTTACTTCAGTCTAAAAGTTTATGCTGATGATGTTGTTCAGAAGACCAATGAAAGTGCTACAACCAAAACATTCAGCTCAGAGAACAAAACTTTACCACAATAATCTCTACCATTTCTAATATCTTTTACTCGGTGAGATCGGGTTTCACACGTAAAAAGCAAAACCGATCTCACCGACTGATCGTAGGCTTGACGTTTTACAGATAGACTGACAACACCAGGGTACCGAAGTTGGCCTTTATCAGCATAAACCTCTCTAGCTTTCACCAGCCATGAAATTATTCCATTACTCGTGCTAGAATCAGCGACCTGACGTTCGCCACAAGCATCTTCCACAAATGACGTAATAATATTGTCTTCTTGTAATGCTGATTTGCTGCCTTCTTTCTTATTCCTTTGGTTGATGTACGTGTATAAGCGTTCTGGGTATTCTATAGACGCCTTAACAAGCATTACATCATACAATCCTTTAGATCTGAGACAGGTCGAGACACAGGCATTTTAAAAGAAGAACATGCGGTAAATAAAAGTACTTGTTATCAGGCATATTGCTTCCGTTGTACTAAAATTATCAATCGATCATTGTTAGATCACTGTTAGAAACCTGGAGACATTGAACTATTATGGTACTAATCAGCTGTACACTTTTACTTTAACCTTGCATTACCTAACTGTTATAAAATGAATAGATCGATCATTAAAATTTGTTTTGGTAGCATGCTTACATAATTAAGAGATAATCGAAAGAAGTCGATTTTATGCACTCTACAGAGGACCAAAGATTTACCAATATCAGAATGTTGACAACGTTATTTCAAAAAGAAATATAAGGACAACGAATGACACAAAAATATTATGGGATGTTACGTTGCGTGTTCTAGTTTTGTTCTAGTAATCCACAATTATAAGAAGTTGCCAATACTGCTAAATACGATATATTTATGATCTTAGATAGTGTATACCTAGAACAATTGAATAATTAGATCACTCTGATCCGTGTATGTAGATAACAGTTGCATTAGAGATTTATTCACTTAGCAGCTGATCAAGTGAGAATGAGGAGTATGATTGCAGCAGAGTACTTTGTGAGCGGTAATTGGTATGTGAAGCAATGTGAGAACGAGAGAGTGACCAAAGATCAAGGTTAAATTTAAACAACAATTTCATAGTCTGAAACAGAGACTGTACAAATGAATGGAAAGTACGAACGCAACAAAAATTGTTTATAAAATAAGCCTTTGTTAATACCTTTCCAAGGTATACATATTATTACATCTAAAATATTTACTAACAGCGACAATGTGAAGAGATCATTCAAACGTCTTAAGTTCTTCAATATTGTTCTCTCAATGCTACATCCAGCTGTGAATTCTCCACTAAATAATGCTTATGATATGAATATAATAAATTTTCATATAACAAAGAAAATAGAATATTTTCACTAGACATAGAAACATGGAAAAGAAGAGAGTTATTCTTTTGTTCAGTTATACAGTAAGAAACGCCTACTTAATCATAAGAAAAACCAATGTCTAATGACCGATTGATAATAATTTGAAAAGAGCAACATATTTTTGATCATTTATTGATCAATACTACACATTTTTGGATACGAACGAACAGTTATAAACGTATTTTACTATGTGAACTACCACAATTAGTCAGATTCAAAATGTTAACTCAGTGTGAGCGTAGCAATCAAATTGCAAATAATTCTACTAAGTATTGATTAGCTCGTTCATTCGTCAGGAATAAAGTACGAAATTCAAGTAGAACTTCAAATTTTATTCTCTAATGATAATTATTCATATTCTTGTAAATCGGTTGTATTGAACTCATAGATAATTTTATGGTATTTATTATTCTTATTTTATAGTAAGTCATCTTATTCTAAACTGTACATTCTATATATAAAATGCTAACCAGCCTACCGTTTCCTACACTGAAACTAATTAAATGGTGGAAATTTATAATTATTTGTATAGGATTACTTTTTAATCTATACTTGTATGTACAGATTTCAAGTAAACAAGATAGCACAGTTTACGGAAACAAATCATTGACTTTGTGTATAGACGATATTTTTACTCAAGTTGTTGAATCACAAAGTTCATGGTTAGCATTCATTGACGCCTTGAATAACTTACATAATGGTAATTTTAATCAATCAAAAACAACTCAAATATCCACAGAATTGTTCCAATTCACATACTTTTCTTTACCTATAAACAATACTACATTAAAACTTCTTGACTTTAAAAATCATTTGAAAGTACTACCTGAAGCTAAAAATACAACTTATCACTTCAATGAAATTTATAACGAAAAAATCAATAACAATAATGTTTCAAATATTGGAGATGATAAATCTTTAAGTGGTAAACATTATCCAAAGTATTTCAATATGACAGAATACTTGAATGCAATGTCGACTGGATTCCCACCGAACGAAGTACGTCATATTCATTGAAATTTACTTTTAATGAAAACAAACTTGTATTTGATTATACTCATGTAAATTCATATATTTCATACATAATTATTATAAATGTAAATGTTCATGTAGATCACGGCTAATTGTGAGGTATAAAAGTAGTTACTTTAAATCTACGAATTCTGACACTGAAATTCATTGTATCTATTGGTTGATTGAAACAAATTCATTGACTCAAGCCGTTGATACATATCAGATGATACTTACTTAATGAACCATATCATAGATGTTATACTTTTCCTTAGTCAATTTCAATTTCTTCTACTTTTCAAACTCGGATTATTTGAATCAGTGTTTTCCATCATTATATTAGTAGTATCGGTTATGTATGATGACCACTATATCTAATATATGTATTATTTCTTGACATATGTTCCAAAATAAACAGTATAATCCATTGATGAAGTTTGTCTTGCTCGCTACCTACGAACTGAATACATGTTCGAAGAATGTAGAATTAATTTACCAGTCTTACAGTGTATTGGTACACTCTTTGGTAAGGTGAATTTCGTTAGTTTTGTGAATAGAAGTTATATCTTACTTGTCGTCTATTTGATTATGTTACCTTCTGGAACTATTCTAATCCAAATCCTCAAAGAATATTTATTTCAGATTTTATAATAGAGTAATAAGTGAAATTAAATAAAAGGCTTTGATGAAATCTGATTACAATCAGGAATTACTTACTTACTTGCTTAGTCACTGACTCCTGTTACCTCCAATGAAGCAAACGCCACCGGCCAGCACTCTCCAACCTATACTGTCCTGGCCCATGACGTCTTGTTCTGTCCGACTGCTGTGAATTCTTCTAATGTCGGTCTACAAAGCTCGGCGTAGTGTGTTACTTGGTCTTTCTTTTCTTGACCGTGAGAAGATCAAGAACAGTCAGCTTGTTTAGTAATCGTGTGTCGCATTATCTAATATCGTATTCATGATGACCTAAGGTTTAGCATTTCAACAAATAATATTTCTGTCATTAAACTCTGTTGAATTCGAGTACTTCACTTCTACCAGACCTTTGTACTGATGATGTTGTTCAGAAAAACACTAAACTTTACAACAAAAACATCCAGCTCAGAGAACGTAACTTCCGCACAATAATCCGCCTGAGCTAAAAATTTTCTTCACTATCTAAAAACTCTTTTTTGGATGACGTATAACGCATCGCGAAGACCACGGCTGACTAAAGTGAAGAAATAAGTTCTGATTTCAATCAGAAATTTGCGACCGGTCAATTAAGTGTCAGGGAATTTAAAAGTAGACTTTGCAACAAATAACTAGTTATGAAATGTTACAAAATAAGCGAGTATTTCGGTGCTCACTATTTAGTCACTTTCACTTACATAAAATAGAATTTACTAAAATAATCGCAAGACGTTTTCTTGTTTACAATATTGTTCCAAATAGATACAAAACTTATATGAAACTATATGAGATAGTTTATTACGATCTTTAAACTGATAAATTCTACAACTCATTATATTTACGTAATCTTCTATCTAGGTCCCCGTAAATAATGGACATTTAATTGTTATAGAAACCCCAAGAACTACTTGCGATTCTTGTCACGAAAAAGAGAAACTAGGTTTAGTGGTTTTAATCAAATCTTGCATATATTGCTATGAACAACGGTCATATGCTCGTAAAACATACATGAATAAAAGTCTTTGGAATAATCTAACAGTCAGATTTGTATTTGTTGTTGGAATGCCAGTACCAAATGAAACAAACATTTATCATTTTGATGGTGTCAATGTTCAGTTAGACGGAAGATCATGGTGGGAATCGAAAAAACATGAACTGTCTCGGTGGTCAGTAATAAAGGAGTTGAGAAATGAAAGCAGATTCTATGGTGACTTGTTGATTGGGGGTTTCTTTGATACATACTTCAATCTGACGACAAAAATGATGTTATCTTTTCGTTGGGCATGTATTTTTTGTAAAAATATGACACCATTATTTCTGTTTATTGACGATGATTATGTACTTCATCCGAATAACACAATGAAACTCGTGAAGTCAATTAAAAATTCTGAGATAAAATCATATGTTGCCGGTCCACTACATCCAACATCAATTGTGATGAGACCAGAAAATGAAGCTTATAGTTCAAAATGGGCTGTTTCACTTCATGAATATCCATGGAATTATTATCCTCCATACTTTTATGGTATTGGTTATATGATTGGAGCTGACGTTGTATGTGATGTTTCCGTTACAATGTCATTTACACAAAATCTTCGCATTGATGATGCATATCTTGGCATTGTTTTGGCAAGACTGAATAAGAAACTCAATCACCTTAAAGGATTCAATGTTCAAACTGACACAAATTTTGAAGCATCTGGAGCGGTTATTATACAAAAATCAAAGGCTGATCTACTATTTTCGTAAACCATAAGAAGAAACTGGACTTCTTTCCTGTACATATTGAGCTATATTTATTCAGATGATTCATACAATAAAAAATTACGTTTTAAAAAAGTGAAAGACGTATTGCGGACAAGAACTAGTTTTAATATTCGGCTCTTTATATAATTGCCTTTTGATAGAACCATAAAAAATTATTATTCTCTTACTATAAATATATGTAAATGACTTTATAGATCACTTATTTTCGTGTTAACAATTTCTGATTATGATGAGTTATCCTACTAAAAAGAAATATGAATCATCATTCAATTATCCTGTCTTCCGATGCAAATTCATTTTAGTATTTGAGTCTATAAATCGATTTTCTCAAGTAATCATCAAATATTCACAATCGATGCATACTGATCACTAGACAACCCTAATCACACTGTACTTTACACAATTAAAACATGTGATGAATTACGATACTAGCTAAATTGTCATATTATGAAGTTGGAGTCAGTTATTCAAATTAGTCAAAATCAAATTATTTTATATCATCTGAATCTTAAAGGTAAACTGTAGCAGGTCTTTTTATCTAAAACATATAAAAAAATGTTCAATTAACGAATCCTGCATATCGTTCAGGTAGTTCTTACAGTAAATATGTATGAGTCGATAAACTATCGACAGAAATCAAGTTAATAAGGAAACATATCTAAAGCTGGTCGATTTCTTGTATGAAAAAAATAGTTGTGATTTTAAATGATCCATGGTATACCAATCGTCTGAATTAACCGAATACCTAAAAGCAACACATATGTATTATAGTTTACTTAAATATTTCGAATTTCTAGTTTTCTTGATTATTGTTGTACTTGGCATTTCGATTAATTATAAGAATTTATGAAATAATTATAGAATTATTGAGTCAATGTATAGTGTTGCAATTTCACATCGCTTAGGCAGTCAGTCCCATAATATTTACTGAAATTATTCACATATTGTTTTCTCTTTGGCTGATGTTTAGGTATTGTATTTTTGGCGAAAGACATTTACGTATCTGGGATAAAGTTTGGGTTTTGATAAGGCGTAATGTGAACAACAACGCTGTCAGTATGATGTACGAGATTTTTTTTCTGAAGTTTAAGTAATTTCTAAAGAAGTTTTATCCAACTGTTAAATCTGTAAATATTCTCTTACTTACTGGCAAGTTATTTTCATTTTTTAATTTTTAATTTCTTATATTAAGCTCTCAAATCTCTGCATGTAACCCATCGTTCACTTTTATAAAACTTAAAATTACTGTTTTCCTTTTGAGCAATCTCTTTCAGTTCCCTAATTCCTTTGACTGTGTTCAGGGTCCTTGAACAAATACTTGTACTGATTACCATTCACTGAAATTAGTCTTCTTCAGTCTCTGTTGAATAAATCGTCATACGAAGATTTGCATTTTGGGCAAGCTATGTTTAGGTGAGAAATTAGAAATACGGTATTCAGATATCACGATCGAAACTAGAAGTTTTCACAGTCAGCTAGAGACACATCCATCTAAAACTGTTAGGGACTAAGAAAAGTATTTCAGAAATGCAAGATGATATTTGGATATATTAGGGTAACTGAGAAACGGGTAATAACCATATCCATTTAATTGGTGATTGAGGTTTATTTACACAAAATACATAATGTTTTTATGATATCGACCATGTGACTGAATGCAAATAAGATTGCCTAGTCACTTGAAACATTTAGAAATTAATACATTTTATCATTTCATAAGACAGTACAATCGATAATGCTTGACTGGGATAGTTATGAGGATATCAACAAAAATTTCAACATGGTTGATCTTGTTACACAATCCATGCATCCATTGTACATTCGAAATGAAGTTCCAGTTGCTATTATAATAATATTCATTCCAGGATAAATTCACGACAGTATATCAGTCAGTCAGTCAGTCAGTCAGGTGCAACGTAGAACTTCGTACGTAAGTACATCAGTTCATGTTGCCATACCACATCAGCACAGAGATGTAATTGTCAAATCAAATCCAATAGTAGAAGAGGTAGTAAAGGTATTAGAAGTAATCGAAGAGGTTAGGATTAGAAGATATTATTCAAGTATGATTCAATGAGAAAAGTTTAGAAAGTCAAAAGTAGAGGGGTTGAAGAATCCAGAAGATTAGGATTTGAGAGAACACAAAGAATAAATGCACCGGCGCCATTGCGAACGATTCTAAGCCATCTCATTCAGGGTCTCTAACCATCGATTATTATCATCTCACGACAGTATATATGTTGAACTCTTTCTGCTTAACACCAGTTTATGTGCAAACATACATAAAATGATTATTAGACATTTCTGGTAGCGGAAAGGGAATTAACAATATTCGAAACGAATTTTCGCATTTAAAAAGTAGTTATAGATATATTTTAGTCTTGAGAATTTCATTATTCGATGGCTTGTTTTGAATCTTAACTAAGCAAATATAATTGGTAAAACATATACTTTTATGGTATTAGTTTCAAGGAAACGACATTTTCAGACCTGTGATAATCTTTCCAAAAATGATATGAGAATGTTTCCAGATTAAGATAAGTAAATAATCATCCTTAAAATTATATCACATAAAATAGTCATCTTAAAACGTTTTCTACAGAAAAAAGTATTCGATAGAAACACTTGCCATTGTGAGTGTTCACAATCACAAGTCGAAGGTTAAATACCATGGTATCCTTTAGTCGCATCAATAATTTTTATGTCAGTTTGAAAAGATCTAATAGTAATACGTGTAATAAACTGAATATTTGTTATTATACTTGACATCATACAGTGTCAGAGAATTAATCTCTAATATATCATCAACATTCACAGACAATTTATTAGTACGTTAGAACAGAATTCCATTCAATCGTAGCATTTAAAAAGACAAAAATTGTTCTACTAAACAAATGAAAAATACATCAAGCGTACATGCTGATTTCAATTAAGCTTGATTTTATTTTGTCATCAAGATATGTTATTTTAATTGTGTCACGTATTAACTCAAGAGTGATAATGTAAAATTGACAGAAAATAGGTCACATTCATGTAATGAAATCCATTCCTGAAATAGTTACTTAATAATACACGTGCGCGACTGTATGACAATCAAAAATTAAGTGATAACATTATTGTAATAGCATTAATCAATGATGAATATTACAAGTCGAATACATAATTCTAAACAACGTAGAAATGTTTTCATAATGATTGTTCTGTTCGCTTATATATCATCAATTATAATGATTCATAATTACGTAATCAACAGTTCAGTGAAAGAGGAATTTTCGATTAGTGACGTTTTGTTTCAAATGAACGCTCTAAATATATGTACGACGTCAGAGCAAATGTGGCTTCGATGTGTTGATCATTTGAATAATCTGAGTGTATGGAATTACAAAACATTTTCTGTATTCGATTCATCAGTTCGTGTGTTTCGCACACCGTTAAACGGTGGACTTATGGATATACAAATTCCATTCAAAACAAATGGTGAGAATCGTGTGAATGATACATTGAATGAACGTTATAATTTGTTGAATAGTAAAGATGCAATTCAAAAGTCTTCTGGCCAGTCAAACGTGGAAACGGAAACCAGAACAGTGCATGTTCCGAAGTATTTCAACGTGAAAGAAGCACTTGATGCGATTAAAGTTGGGTTGCCTGACGATGCAGTAAGTTGTTTAAGTGCCTCTAAATCACTTATTGTTATAATAAATAATAGTGCAACATTATGTATATATTATGCATGATCGACATCAGCTGTTTGTAGTTGTGGTGTTTGGTCCTCTGAGCTGGGTGTTTTGTTTGTGAAGTTTGTTCTGATGATGTTGTTCAAAAGAACAATGAAAGATCCACAACCAAAACACCCAGCTCAGAGGACCAAACACCACCACCACAATCATCCACCTGACCTACAAATCTATTCCACCGTCAGCTGTTTGTTCTTGGAAAGGTGTTAGGGGGGTTGCTGCCGATCCTAAGCCCGGATAAAGGAGGAGCGTTGGACATGGGGTTGGAAAACCCCATCGCAACTACAAACTAACTTGCCAAAAAACGCTAACCGCAAAAAATAATAATCAAAACCATTTTTACTCTGCCCTAGGAGTCGGAAGAAGAATTATGACGTCGCATGATGAAAGCCGAGTTCCCTCGGAAGTCACGGGGCTGATGCCTCTTCTGACAACCAGAGCAACCATTTTTTTAGGTACATGGAACGTTCGTACATTGTGGGAGACTGGAAGACTATTTCAAGTTGCCGCAGAAATGAAAAGATACAACCTCGAGGTGCTTGGAATCAGTGAAACGCATTGGACACAAGTAGGACAACTGAGACTTGCTTCAGGGGAACTGCTGTTATACTCTGGTCATGAAGAGGAAAATGCTTCACATACACAAGGAGTTGCATTGTTGCTGTCCAAACATACACAAAAGGCACTGATAGGATGGGAATCTCATGGACCAAGGATCGTTAAAGCATCCTTCAAAACAAAGAAAGAGGATATTACAATGAATGTCATCCAATGTTATGATGCACCTACCAATGACTACAATGACGACGTTAAAGATCAATTCTACGAAAGGCTGCAGTCAATCGTCGAGATTTGTTCACCAAAGGAGTTGACGATTCTTATGAGAGACCTGAATGCCAAGGTTGGAATGGACAACACTGGATATGAAGACATCATGGGATGACATGGACTGGGAGAAAGGAACGAAAACGGTAAGAGATTTGCAAACCTATGTGCCTTCAACAAACTGTTCATCGGTGGCACAATATTCCCGCACAAACGCATTCACAAAGCCACATGGATTTCACCGGACCATACTACTCAGAACCATATTGACCATATCTGTATCAATAAAACGTTCAGAAGGACCATGGAGGATGTGAGAATCAAGATCACTCTTCTTTCAATACCATGCAAAGTCTTCAACAGGATATTGTTAAACAGAATGAAGGACTTCGTAGACGCCCAACTTCGAGATCAACAGGCCGGATTTCGTAAGCATCGATCGTGTACTGACCAAATTGCTACATTACGGATCATTATGGAACAATTAATTGAATGGAACTCACCACTCTACATCAACTTCATCGACTACGAGAAAGCATTCGATAGCGTGGATAGGAAAACACTGTGGAGGCTTCTTCGACACTACGGTGTGCCTGAGAAAATAGTCAACATCATACGGAATTCTTATGATGGATTCAACTGCAAAATCGTACACGATGGACAGCTAACAGACTCGTTCGAGGTGAAGAGCGGTATGAGGCAAAGTTGCTTACTCTCACCCTTTCTCTTTCTCCTGGTCATCGACTGGAATATGAAGACGTCGACATCTGGAAGGAGGCACGGTATCAACTGGACAGCTAGGATGCAGCTGGACGATCTGGACTTCGCAGATGACCTGGCTCTTCTTTCGCACACGCAACAACAAATGCAAGAGAAGACGACCAGTGTAGCAGCAGCCTCTGCAGCAGTAGGTCTCAACATACATAAAGGAAAAAGGAAAATTCTCTGATGCATTACAACATGCACCAACCAAATCACTCTTGATGGAGATGCCGTGGAGGACATTAACATCTTTGCATATCTGGGCAGCATCATCGATAATCAAGGTGGATCCGATGCAGATATGAGTGCGCGGATTGGCAAAGCAAGGGCTGCATTTCTACAGTTGAAAAATATCTGGAACTCCAAATAACTGTCAGCCAAAACCAAAATCAGCATTTTCAATACAAACGTAGAAATGTTTTCATAATGATTGTTCTGTTCGCTTATATATCATCAATTATAATGATTCATAATTACGTAATCAACAGTTCAGTGAAAGAGGAATTTTCGATTAGTGACGTTTTGTTTCAAATGAACGCTCTAAATATATGTACGACGTCAGAGCAAATGTGGCTTCGATGTGTTGATCATTTGAATAATCTGAGTGTATGGAATTACAAAACATTTTCTGTATTCGATTCATCAGTTCGTGTGTTTCGCACACCGTTAAACGGTGGACTTATGGATATACAAATTCCATTCAAAACAAATGGTGAGAATCGTGTGAATGATACATTGAATGAACGTTATAATTTGTTGAATAGTAAAGATGCAATTCAAAAGTCTTCTGGCCAGTCAAACGTGGAAACGGAAACCAGAACAGTGCATGTTCCGAAGTATTTCAACGTGAAAGAAGCACTTGATGCGATTAAAGTTGGGTTGCCTGATGATGCAGTAAGTTGTTTAAGTGCCTCTAAATCACTTATTGTTATAATAAATAATAGTGCAACATTATGTATATATTATGCATGATCAACATCAGCTGTTTTTTCTTGGCAGAGTGTTAGGGGGGTCGAATGAAAGAGTAAGGATAACTCCAAGTTTAAACTAACGTTATGGTTGATTACGCGCTTCATTCGCATTTTAACAGTGAACCGATAGGTAAACCACTTTTTCTCATGATATGCAAACAGTTTTCTAAGTCTTGAATAGCAACCATGACCGCCACCATGTGGTAAGTGTGGATGACGAAATTTCGTGGTGTTGCTTGCCATTATTTTATACTTCGTCATAGAATACCGGTAACATCAAATTCATTGGAGATATCTCTCTCTCCAACGAATTCTCTACCGAGCCAGACTTGTGTAGTGAGCGATTCATGAGACCAGATTGACTATGCTCACCACTAAATGTTCCGTACGGTCCCGTCTTTAAGAAAAAATAAATCCATGGTTGAGTATTTTATTAAAGGAGAACTTTAGCATTTCATGGGGAGCAGGGCATTTAGAAAAGTGGTAGCAACGCGAAGAGAACGTTGCGCGCAAGAAGTAGAAGTGTTTTTGGTACAGTTGAACAAAACGTGCACAATAATGTTTATTTTTCACAAATCGTATTTTCTTCGTAGAAGCGTTCCACTACACTTTTTTTTGTAAGGTGCACGATAATGGCAGCACACTCAGAATGAAAACAGTTGCACATGGTGAAGTGTAAGTAATATAAACACAAGTTTGTATAAATTTTGATGGGAGTTCATGGATTAAAAATGGTTGGAAAACTAGTAGATAAACAGACGATTCCAATGTGAACCGAGTAAAATAACAAAATAGTTGTTTTTTCATGGTTCACTGGTCAAATATGCAGATATTTGGGGTATTGTGTGAAGCATGACCGCGAACGTCAACAGAGTTCATGCGAAATATTTGGTGAGGGTATACTTTCAAATACGAAAGTATAACACAGCAAAAATAGTAGTAATATGTTGATGTCTTAGTGGAGACAAAGAAAGGACGTTGTATATTTCGGTACAGAGATTTCAGACTACTACAACTACTACATATTCTAGACGAACAAAACTTCTGTGGATTTATGGATATGACACTGAAGAAATATTGGTCGTTTTATGAACAACCTTAAAAACAATATGTACGTTAGATGAATGGTCAATGTCAGTCAAATATTCAACGATCTGAGTCCTAACCATTCTGATCGGGATCTAGTGAAATCGAAACAAATTATTCTATCGGGTACGTGTTGCTGGCGAATACGAACCGAGGTCAACTTACTTGATCCATATGAACTTGTGCGTTCAGAAACCAGTGATTGGATGAGGAAACTGATCTTCCATACATCCATACATTCTTCTAGTCAGTGCAGACAGGTGTTTTAAAGGTCAATTCGTTCTCTCGCCATCATGCAATGTCATATGCACATGAAGTTATTATTTGTAGATAGGAGTTCCTTTCTGTTTACTCCGTGTTAATTTTTTGTGTTTATCAATACAGCGGTTGAGAAAGCCGTTATCAGATGGCATTATTTTTGAGGAATTTGGCTGTGACCGTTTCACCACTGCTTTCAATCTATGCATCTGATGAGGGACCCATCTATCTTGATTAACCCACTTCCTTCCCTACTTTGACTGGATACAAAATCTTGCGAGAATGCACAATTTCCAGTTGTCCAACATTTGTACTACGTATTACAAATCCGTAACTCATATGTCTTCTCCATGGAACAATATCATACAATAGCTTTTAAAATGGGCTTCTCTGAAGTCCGTTAATACAAAAATGTCAAAAAAGTGACCAGAGTGGTAACAAAGTCACACGATACTCTTTGCGACTACAAAACACGTCATGGAGAATAAGCCAAACAAGGAACGTGAAGAATAATATGTTCTTTCAGTTAAACAGTGTACCGTCAGATATGCAACTGATGGTTTCAGTTATCGGTACACAGATGAACAAAGAACTTGTATTGAACGGGAGAATAATTTCGATGGAAATATCAAACTGCTCAGTATTGCCAACTCACATGCACACACAAACGCACATTTGGTTTCAAGTATTTGGAAACGTCAACAAATAGTTTGTTCACATCCTTTAGTGAGATATAGGGCGAGAGGTAATGTGCAAGTGTTTCGAAGTGATTTATGCCGTTTCCATACTTCCATGAGGAATGATGAGGGGAGACTTTAGTCTAAATTCATGCCATTTGTTTTCCAGTGGATATTCACTATGCCTATCTCAGATGTACATCACATTGGAAAATCTACCTACAACAAAGTTTTTATTCACAGTAGTTGTAACTATTTTGATTATGGTGAGTGAATGTGGAGATCATGTCAACCTTCATCCGATATACGTGGTATTATGATGAATCTTAAGAGCTTACCAATCCAATTTTCACTCTGATTACAAACAGTCGAAAAAGTAGTCAGTCAATTTCATCTAAATCCCAACACGGTTGTAATGACAATTTGTTTGGTGAAGTAACATCTGGAGTCGAATACTATGGAGGTGATGCGTATGCTGGATGCGTGTCGGTCGTTTATCAATATCATAACCCAACAGAAACTTAATCACTGCTGAGTTGGCCTACTGAAACACTAAAATGAATCAGCCACTCGACTTGTTTCATCTGTGAATATTTGAAGACATGAAGACCTAGCAGTGTGAAGACTTACGCATGCTTTGTACAGTTCACGTGACTAGTTGTTAGCTATCTAGAATTGAAAAAATACAGCCGAATTGATAGCGACTTTGAACTGTCTTCAGAATAACGATGAGCGACACAAAGACGTTTGAACGAGGCAAATATGATAAATCGTAGTTCAATCTAATTTGTGAAATATTCTTACTTTCTTATAGTAAAAAGTAGAAATCAACTGAGTTAGTGACTGTATTGTAGAATACGGCTACGGAATATTATGAAACACAGATCTATTGACCTGTACTTCAAGTTAGTCAGCGTGTAACTAAATATCCAAGGTAGTAAATATTTCTGAATTAGCCTCTATTAATTCTATATTCTGTTAGTCGTGAGACTGGCAGTTTTCGTCAACAATTTTAACCAGGTTGATGCAGATTTCTCATACAAGGTGATCATGAAAACAGAACATCAATATGTATCACTTCGTCATTCAGAGTACTGGTTTTTAGATACAGATTTGCAATTGTGAAAAATGATCATGAGTTCGAAATACACTTGAGAAATACCGATGAGTAAGCGACATACCATGTGTTTGCTGTTTGTTTCAACAAACCAACAAGTTATACTCGAGCACTGTTAACGAACCACTCATAGAGAGATGAATTACTTTGAATAGAATGTGGATGAAATCAAATTAAGTAGTTCTACCGAAATGTAAACATCCCGGTTGGGAGGCTAATAAACTGTTTGTTCTTTAGATTGTTCGACATTTCGTATTTCGAAACACGTAACAGACATAACATGTGTGTAAACTGTGCTTAAATGTGTGCTGATTCACTTGATTTCACTTATTGTGTGATTGTAGATAAAGTATAATTTCATATTTGGGATGCGTTATTGTCCGATAATTCATATAACTAAGCTAATCATAGTTTCAGATAGATTCCGACTGGTCGAAATACAGTGATACGCACCTAACTGCTATCTTCTCACATTCCGATTTCAATCGGAGAATGACTTTTATTCAAATGTCTTGCCGACTTGTATCAAGATGATATCGATTTGTATAATTGAATTTCGCACTTTCTACCGGAAGAACCTGAGAGAAACGTGTGTTTTTCATGAAAGTTAATCAAATTACATAATAGGCTTTTGTGTTTTTTCTAAAGTTAAACTGTGATTCGTCTAGAAATACCACCTACATAACAATAATTTTTCAAGATGTCATAAACTTGCTGTTACGATATATGTTGAATTGATTCACATTATTAGATGCTCAATAGTAGTGAAGATTTTGCTTTTGAGGAAACAGATAAGAGAATACAATTACGATTCGAATTGTTAACAAAAAATAGGTCAACAGTATGTCGCAGACAGACAACTAACGCTACTTCATAAATAAATAATCAATAAGTAACAAATGAAAGTTGATCCATGTAACCTAGTCTGAAAATTATTTTATAAAATATTGATTAAACACAACAAAAGAAAAAAATACTGATCGATGATCGATTTAATCTTTTTTTGGAAGTTTATCTAAAATCGAATAAATAATCTAAAGATCGTTATGAAGAAAATAATTAGAACTAAATACTTCCTACTCATCATTTTTAGATATTGATATGAATTTCAGATTAATGAATTTATTGTTTCATTATGTGTATCTGAATTCGACTGATTAGCGAGCGAACTTATTGTAACTATAAATTGAATAAGTGAAGGATATAAATAATATTCAATTTGCAGACCTAAATCTAGACAGAAGAAAATTACAACTAATAATGAGTTCATTGATTTGAAACACATTCCTACACTCATGATACTTAGCTCATTAAACTATGATGCTGCAATTGATTCGAGATTCATGACTGATGGCTTGAGGTTAATTGACATAACAAGATAATTTATTTCTTACTTACTTACTTACTGAAATACTTGTTGTTTTGTATCAATGTTAAAGGGTTTTATTTCTTTTCATTATTTTTGTTTTGTCAACTGGACACCTGATCTTTGTTGAACAGCTAGACATTCTCAGTCGTGTCAATTTTAAATGGAAATTTGACCAATTCATCTTTAAATATCTTCAAACTGTTTTGCTCAATCATTGTTCGGTAATGACGAAGTGATCTTTCATAAAGAGCTATGGTTACCGATTGTTACCTTTGAGAATGAATGAGTAACATTGGTGTTTATTTTTCTTCTTAGAGTAATTAAATATCTGTTAACAAATCCCTATTCAACCGAACTGATGTAAGGAAAATTAAAGCAGAACAGATATCAAAATTTAAACTTTGTTATGAAACAATCCTATATACAGAAGAATGTGAATACTAATTAACACAGTCAGAATTTTGACAGTTCAATTATTGATAACTAAGTATCACTCAAAAACTGTTAATCAACTTTTCATATTACAACGAGAAATAGTTAACTAGTTCGATTGAAATACTTTTCTTCTGGAGATGTACACGCAATAAGCTTGATGTTCATATTAAGTATTTTAATCGAATCAAATAAGAAAGCACAACAAAACCCTTAATTATAATCACTGAAAATATTAAATGACTTTAATTTCAATGATTGGACTTAAGCCTACCGACCTTCCAATCGATTATACGTTTACTGACAGAGCGCGGTAGGTTTATTGCACCAGATTTGATATTGAGTTCTCCACTTTTAAGAGAGATAACATCGAGGTTTCGTGGAATAATGTTCAGTTTGTTAAAGAGTATACCCAAGTAAGCGTCGTCAATACGAATATGCTGAGTAAATGCACTGGCAACAGCAAGGCGCTTGACTATATTCGAACCCAAAATATAGGTAGCTCCATAAAAGTATGGAGGATATATTGCCCATGGGAACTCCTTCAATGTTACTGCCCAATTGCTACTTATATTCCCATCATAGCGTGGTCTGACAACCATTGGAAATCTATGTCGAAGCCCACCAGTCAGGTCTCTCAAATTACCTAGTGTATGATTTCTGTACAACTTTATCACATTCCAAGGAACCAAATCATAATCGCTATCTAAGAACAGGAATAACGGTACCGTACTGGGACAAAATGCTGATAACCATCGGAATGTAAATATAAGTTTTGTGGTCAAATTTAAGTAAGTGTCGTGAAAAGAGCCAATCAACATATCCTCGTAAAAATCTGCTTCCATTGCAAGTCGTTTAATAAATGTCCACTTGTCTCTGTCATACTTTCTCGATAACCTCCACCAAGAATCCTTCAGTTTGAATTTATGCCTGTCAAATGTGAATATGTTCGATTCATTTGGATAAGGTACACCCACAACAAAGACGAATTCCACAGTGATATTCGGCCATAGATGTTTCTGCATAAATGTTTTCCGTGCGTGATCACGTTCAGCTGAACAGTAGCTACAAGATTTGATTACAACAACTAGGTCAGGAACATGTTGTCTGAGGCATGGATTGCAAATACTTTCCGGAATTCGCAATGCGAATATATCTGGATTGTTTATCGGTAACTGAAAACAAAAAGGTGCATCATGGTCATTAAACCGAAAGATACAACTAAAAGATTCATAGTATTCTCTACAAATATTCTGAAGAATAGAAATTCAGGTTTCCTCTGGTAAATCAGATTAACTATGTATGTATAAGTTGGCTCTGTTATTGTTCGTCAGACGATAGAACATCCTGGGGTTGTATAATTATGTATTAATTTATAAGTCATAACCTTTTTGTTAAAATGAAGCTTGTATATATCTTCAAATATTCTTTCCAATTTCATTTCTTCTTTATTCATTATAGAATTGTATCAGCCAACAACACGGTCTATTCAAAATAACTCAAATAACTATTCACATCTCTTAGTGGATTTTCATATCGAAGTCGTCATCTTCGCCATCTCAAAACACTTTAAATTTATTGACAAATGTAGGAATTAATTTTATCTCTAAAAAAATCCTGTCATATAAAAATACAGTTACATGAGCGACTCTACAGTTATATATCAAAATTAATAAGTCAAAAAGTGGTCAGGTTCAATGTAAAATACATCATTCAAAATTATAGCATATGAATTCCGGATTGTCGTTAATGTTTTGGATGACTTATATGAAATGTTCACTTGAATAAATTTGTATGTAAAATGAAATTTTAAGATTATTAATCAAAATAAAATGTAGCTGAAATACCTTTTCTAGGCGTCCTACATCTAAGGAGAGTAGGATGAGTTACTAAAAAGAAACTTAAGCAAGAAAACAATCTGAACTGAACAATATAAAAATTTTCTGAGTTTTGTTCTTTTAAAACATAGAAGAAATCTGATTAGAAAACTTCAATACTGAATTAAGACCATCTGCATCTCAGAGGTGATTGCAGAAAAGATAAATGCATTGCGTACTATTCTGAAAGAAAATGGGTGTCGTGAGAAGTTCATAACTAAGCATTTAGCCCTGAAAAGTGAGCATAATGAAGTCCAAACTGCAGCTAAGAAAGCTCAGTACATACGCATATATATTTGCCATGCACGTAGTGAAATGCTACTGCTAAAACTGCATAGAGCAATCCAAAGAACTTTTATTTCAGAGAAAATACAACTGTTGTTTTCCACACGTCCGATGGTCATCCCGACAATGAAAGATTAGTTGCCTAGACTAGTCACCTCTTTCTACGCTTATCGATTCAGCTGTTTCTGTGGAGAAAGCAACATAGGCAGATGTCCTACGAATTAGTGTCTCCATACTGGTGAGCGCCACTCAGTTTGATTAAGCTAGGGCATAGTTAAATCTGTAAACTGGTCGATTCTAGCTCACTTAGTACTAAAGGACCATATGGCCAACACTAAACAATCATTTTCAATAGGACAACATGTCAGCAGTAGGTTGTCAAAATTTGTCAGACTATGAAACCTTCGGATGGCTGAAGCAACAGCTACTTGAATTAAAAAGACGGAGCTTTGAACTCAAAAGTAATGGGTTTAACCACTTCTTTTACATTGGTCAACTTCTGGCCTAATAATTCGAAAATCATTAGTTTCCATATAACCTAACTCTTTTCATTTTCGTAGCTTAAACTTATCTTATTTACAAACCATATCATTATTACCATTATAATCATTATTAATATTGTTAGCAGTATGATTATTACGTTTGTGACTTTTGGAGAGATTTATTCAGCATTCAACCCTATTCACTAATTCGTACCTCATTCATATCATTCTATATGTTATGTGATTCTTGATTCGTACAAGCTTATTCAAGTGAACATTTCATATTTGTCATCCAAAACATTGATGATAGATTTTACAAACAGTCCTAAATTCACATGTGATAATTTTAAACGACATATTGTGGCTTAAATCTGGGCACTTTTTTGAATTAAAAATTCTGATATAAAACTGTAGAACCTGAAGGGAATTTATTCTTCGTTCATATATCTCTGTCTCAAATATGCCTGGTTTGTTATTATTTTGACGTATCTCACGTAACAGTTACATTTAAGATTGTTGCGAAATTTTGTTAGGCAGAAATATTTGACACAGAAATGAAATCTTGAAAATATATTAGCTGAGAGTGATGCAAAAGTGTCGACTAAATAGACTTTCTTCCATAGATTCGTAGATCTTTTGAAGTCAAGATGTTATCTAGTCATAATGCACATGAGAATTGTGCCAAACTCGTTATCTAATTACTTTGTTAATTTCTGAAATTTGTGCTATATCATTCCTACTTTTTTATTTCTGTACACAATAGTGTAGAAACTTTGAGGCCAAAATAGACCAGATATAAACGTTTTGATATATTTAGTGAGTATATCAAGACAATATTTGTATAAAAATTTTACAGTGAAAAGTGATAAAAATCTTTGTTTCCGATTTCCTAGTGAACTGACTAAATGTAATGTTTGTACATTTAGTTATTAAAAAACCATGAAGGAATTATTTGATTTTTCGTCTCACCAATATCTTGTACATAATAGGAATAACGACTGAAATATCAGTCATAAATTTGCTATTTTAAAACTAACATTTTGGTTCCTAAGACTCAAAGAACTTGATGAGGGATAATTCTGTTCTATTACACTCGATTCGTGCACCACCTAGTGAAATAATAATACAGAAAATTCAATCAATTATAATTAGTTTCATTGAAATTATGAATGGATCATTGTTAGAACACCACTAGAAACCTAGAAGCACTGGACGGCCGTTTCGTCCTAATATTGGACTCATTACTAGTGTGCATCCACGACCTTCTCTCTCAGGAATCAGACTTAGCATCTTCGGTCTCGTGAGTGGACGCTCAAACTCTAGACCTCTTAGCCGACATCGAATAGCGTTATAGCCTAACTTCCATCAAACCACGTTATTGCGTAACCTCATCCATCGTCTTCGGTGAGCAGTTGCCTCACACCCAACACAGTTCAACTCCACTGGTCACTGCTTCTCACTAGAACTCCGAGAATCACTTCACCATGCTAGTCACCATTGTTCGTTAGTGACTAACAATCGTCTAACAATGATCGACCGATAATTTCAATGAAGCTCAACAATCGTCATAACTTTGTAATGAAAAAGATTGTAATTAGCTTCATTAAATAGAGTTTCATATTTTGGAAGTGAGTGAAACATAGTCTTACTCACCATACTGTCTAATCGTGACTGTTGTATTTTAGAAATAAATAAAAAGTTTACTTGTTAAACATTGGTAAATGTATGTATACAATTACTGTTTTTCATGCCTATTAGTAATGCTTGATAGTGTAGTGCCATTATGTTGATTTACTAATATAAAATTTATTCTTTCGGAACTAAACTTTCACTGTAAGTAGATTTGGAAAATCAATTTTTTCTCACATCACGGTGTGTCTTATAAAGAACTTTATTTATTCTCTGTTCTTTTACCTCAGTTTGAAAGAATAATGTACTAACTTGATGTTTTATTTTTTTACACAGATTGAAACAAATGGTCAATAACGAAACAGCATACTTGTCATGCAAAAATAATTTTTAACCCATTTACATAAAATTTTACTCCTCAAGTTATTTTCTCCCCGATAATTAATCAATGATCAACAAGCGTAAATCACATGGAAAACAACAATAAGAAGAAATTACTGAACCAAGAGATTGGAATGACATCCAATTGTAACTTATTGCTTACACAAGTCCACAAAGATATTATAGGTGAGATAACGTTTATAATGAAGGCATGGAAAAATTCCACTGTTCCTTACTATCGACTGCATACCTGTGTGTATCCCTTATAGTTGAAATAGCCGAGATTTTCAACTGACGAGATCGTCAAAATAATCTTGACTTATATATGTGAAGATCCGTAAGTAAGAAAATTTAGATTCTATTTGATATATGCTTTGAATTGGAGGAATATATTTATGTCTCAAGCCATAGTGATATAAGGCATATATATCAGTATAGAGAAAAATTATTTTTTATCAAAAATCCTTACCACCAACCAGTAAGATAAGTGAATGTGTTGAAGATATTATTATCGAATTCTCGACTAAGTAACTTCATAAAAAGTTGGGAATTGAGTGAACTGTCAATGACAAAAAGGAATGATATACTTATCATATCTCAGTGTGTGGAATTTAATATTCTATTCATTGAGATGTTAGAAATACATCGTTCCTTTTTATTATTAAGTGTGGTGTGTAGAAACATGTATGAATATAAAGTTATGTATAGGAAATATGATAAATTTCAAGCGCACTTCTCTATGAAACGATAACTGGTCCAAGACGTTAGCGGATGAACGAAGTATAGGATTTCGTGACCAAATCATCAAAACAACAATAATTAGTGCAACTTAAGGCAGAATTGGCAAAATAGCGTAGGCTCAGCCTAATATGACATGCATCAGCAGTTTGTAAATACATCAGCAGACTCTCTCTCCAAATAATTAGTACAAAAAATTGTTAAATACTGTATTTTGTAACTAAGTGCCCTGTTATAAAAGCATGAAATGTACACATAAGCTTCGCACTCGGGTGAACATAATCACATGAAGGAAAACGAGCACTATTATATTTTACAGATGGGTTGTATGTTGAGTGATCTAGGAGAATGTTTGCCGAAACTATGAGATCTTTTAATTTGAGTTTTTAATAAACTGAATTTTTACAATATCCACTGAACTATAGAGAGCACAGTAACTAGTTCCCTATCAACTCATTTTCTATTTATTGGTCTTGGGATGTCTGATATCTTTCAAATTATTTATTTCCAGAATAGTATGTAAAATAACTTGGCTATAAATGACTAAACTAACTCACCGTGGTTGAAGGAATACCTTTTTCAACATTGTCTATCACTTTTTCGAAGTTTAAGGTTTGAGGAAATAAGTTGTATTTGGATGACCATAGATCCGCGGATTTTATTTTTCTGTTCTCAATTCCTTCAGTAAGGCGTAGATATTTTCGATAGTACTTGCTATCAAAAGGATTCTCAGCATCTTCAGAAAACTGGACATGTAAGGCAAGATTAATTAATGGCAACTCATCATCAAATAAACCTATTATTGAAGATGGTGGCCAGTTTGATGATAGTACTTTTTTGTTTAGACTGCGTTGTCTCTTCTTCCTGTTCATACTTTCGATGCATTTAAGCCATGAACGTCTTGACTGTGTACATTGTCTAAAGTAGGTATTCTTACAAACCAAGTCAAACAGTGAATAGTTATTTACCAAATTGTTACTATTATATGACCACATGAAAATTACACCAGCTGTCCACAAACATACAATAGGTACCAGTACATTCCAGATCAATAACATTTCCAGGTTGGAAGAAAATAAAAAGTAATTTATTTCTAAATGATATTATAAGCGGATTTGAAGTAAAATCTTTTGTCAATTTAAGGTGTTGTGTTTGACGATCAATCACGTGTGTTATTTTTGATTCAAATCAGAGTAATATTTCTCGCTTTTAATGGCGCTGTTAGGTTTGGTATCGCCCACTCCACAAGTACTGGTTGTAGGTTTATAAACAATTTGGATTCTAGTAGTTTCGAAAGCAATATGTGGACAACAATTCAAAAAGAGTGTGAAAATGATCGATTGGTAATCAAATTATTCAAGTTAGGCTATAATGTGAAGTTTGATATAATTATCATGAATATGCACATTATTTCGTTGATAAGGTAAACTGAAACTGGAGAAATTTATGGCTTTATAGTAGTTTCATTCATCACGTTTGTTACTTTGATCCCAGTGTAAATATATTTTAGAAATTTAAAATACAGTGTTTATTTAACACATTTGTTTACAAAGTAAACATTGGACTTTCTGCTTGGTTTCTAATTAGCAGTCATTATTTTCATGATTGAAGTGTGCAGAAATATAAAGATTGTGCATTATTATGTTATGGATGAAACTTTATTCAACCATTCAGAATGATATAAAAGACTAGATTGTCAGTTTATGGTTACATTCACGATTGATTGAAACCGGCGAAGATTGGATAACTGTCACGACATTTAACGATGTAACTTTGTCTAACAAATAGTACTCTTTCCTTGTATTGCACCAACGTAAATTGGCCTAAACACTATTGATACACCACGTATCAGACAGAAGTGAATAACAAATAGGTTGGACATATATGGAAGTATATTATTAATAACATGAAATGATAGAAGGAACCAGTCTTGTTTATATCACATTTTGAACAGTAATGCATTTCAAAAACGTAACATTAAGTGTTTGGATGCACATTAAGTAAGATATCTTATACGTCAAACTAGAATTATTCGACTGTAATGCAGTAAAATAATTTTGCTTTTGACGCATCACAAAATAAATGCCATCGGTCTGATTACATTTCTGCTATAAGAAAACAATGTACTAACTTCCTATGTGAAATAATGTTAGACACACATCTTTAAACTGATAGGTAGATTTTGTTAAACAATATATTCTTCTTTCAGAACCATAAGTAGTTGCGTATTTGGATGGAACAATCGCCTAATATCTCTCAGCTTTCATTTGCATTTCAGTCAAATTGATAGCTTGATGTGACACTTCAGTACATTCAAATGCATGGTTGGTGAACTTTGCAGTTGTAAAACAAAAAAACAGTTAACACTTATTGATCAACAACTGTTGAGTCTGACGGGGCAACACTCGGTAAAGTTACCGATTAGGGCTGCTTTATTTGAAGCTATCTACCGGTCATTGTTATAAATTTTCATTGAGATCTGATTAATGATCATGTGTTGGTGTTTCTCTATGTTCTGACTATTCCGGTCTGCAATTTTGTAGTGAATCCATCGTTCGTCAGATTTTGCAATGAAGTCAGAAAAACATTTGGTTTTGTTAGACAAAAGGAGTGTAAATCAATATTCATATTGTCAAAAAGTTTGATATTTATATAGTTTATGCATGATCTACTTTACTACGTTTCAGTTAGATTCAAACAAGAAAAAAATAACTGGATAAAGAACTTGAATTCTTTTTGAATTTTTGGTGTTAATTTAGATTTATAAACGAATGATGTTCGTGAACCTCCTTATCTTCAGGGACAGTATTCCTAGAATAAAACGATTTTAGCTATTCTGAACGTACATTATATTCAATCATAGATGTCTTAACAGCTTTCAGAAAGTGGCTATCTTAACACTCATCGTTTAATTCATCTTCTATTCTATATGCTTACTATTTCCTAAGTTTCTATTTTCAATAGAATGTACAACCTTATTCTCTTAAAATAAATAAAAAGAACTATATGATATAAGTGGTTTAATACATATTAATTTGTTCAAGCTATAAAACAATTAAAAAAATAAAAACTAGAAATAATAAAAAGAAGAATAAAAAGTATAGATTTATAACCCATACTATGGATTCTAAAATAGTATTAATTAGGGTATGTTTAATCCAAGTAAAAACTATTGTTTAAAATGTGAGAAGAGTTGAATTTTCGTTTAATCGTTTTTAAAATACAATTGTGTACACGTGTGTGCTTGCTTATCCAGTAAATTAGATTACTTTGTTGCACTTGGTGAAAATTTCTTGAAAATAATATTCTTCGTTCATTGATCGATGTTTTAATATGATGAGAAGTTTTAAACGGTGGAAATTTTTGATATAATCGACGGATAACTATTTATTTGTAATCGGTAATGTTTTTTTTTCTAAAAATTGCAAGTTGATTAAATAATGAATAATTCGAGAGATTATTTCTAAAGCAAGCATAATTTTTCATATATACTTATCGTTTTATTATTTGATATGAAATAACTAATTCTACTGATAGAACTATACAATAGGATTGTTTAATTTTAATAAACTATCCAACTGCATTATTCAATGCATTTAATAAAATAAATACACTGGGCAATTAGATCAAATTCTAGGTCAACATTTACATACTTCTTTGGTAAGTTTTCGAACAAGCTATTGATTCAAGAAAAATACTGTCATGAATTCAGTGGTATAGAATTAGTTAATAAGATATTTTCTCAAACTCTTTCTTAGGTAGGAAGTTCATTGTGTCAGCATTTATTTGTAATGTTGCTGCTTCTGGTCAGAGTTTAGTAAATATTCATGACACATCAGAAAACTTGACTTTTTATTACTTGAAGAAAGTGAAATGTCTTAGTTAAACTATAGACAACTAACTTTGTGAGAATAAATTCTAAATGTTTCCTCTTTTCTGTAAAGTGAAGTTTTAAATAAATAATTGACTATTGTTTATAATGTATGGATAGAAACTTCAGGTTTTGTTATTCTTGGTTAGCAATTTAAATAAAGCAACATGGATGATCGATGTTTCAATTTATTGAATGTGCCGTAGTCGATCAATTTCATTTCCGAAAGATCAATTCACTGTAACACATCATTCAAATGTCTTATCAAATGATCATTCAGGAACTTTGATAAACCATCTACAGTAAACTTAACTTTATCAATATATTAATCCTACTTCATAATAACTACATTAGAGTCGTTAACAGATTTAAGTGCAAAATTGTTTCCGTTATACAATAAATTATTATTGTGAGGATCGTTTGCAAGTACATAAGTCATTTTAGAATAAATGTATTTTATTTACACATAAATGTTAGCTTACTTTCTAAATTCTTTGAATTCAAAATAACAAAAATTTGTGCTGTCTAAGATCCGTTGTGTCGAACGTTGATAAATCAAAATATTTTGCTTCTTATGATGCACATGCAGAGATTTACTCAAACTGTTAATCGATACAGCTAGTCAAATAACTATATGTGTAGGTGGCAAGTAATGCCTAAGCTTACATACGCATACAAGCTCAACAATGATAAAAGTACAAGATATACGTGAGGTGCTACACTGTCTAAGCCCATTAGGATATTTCTGATGGTTGTTAGATGACCTTCTCATTTGGTCACTTCTGACTGGTCTACTGTATAATTGTCCAGTTCTGAATGTTATTTGATGAACTTAGGTTTTATATTTATTAAATAAACTAATGTGAACAGATAAACTTCTAAGTAATAAGGTATGTCCGTTATAAGAAGCTTTGTTTCTTTTAAAAGAAAAACAGCAATAATTCCAAGAAATTTAAAATTAAATTCAATAAAATAACTACCAATTAACCATTCAAATTTAGTAACAGTAATTACATATTAACAGTTAAATATTTAAACTCGAAAGTAATTTAAAATTATAAATATCGTGGTCGGAATGGTAAAGTTGATAGTTGTAGTTTTAATGAACGCATGGTATTGTTTGTTGTATATATATATATATATATGCATGATGTTTGAATAGATTTCATTTGATCTGCTTGTAGAATCTAATATGATACATTTTTATACAAGTATACTTAATTCACTAGAAGATTTTTTCATTTGGCATAATCATTGAAATTTAGAATCAAAGGATTCTCAACAGTTATACTCCTATTTATTTTTATCTTCTCTATTCATTAATTCATTTTTCTCAAATAATTGAAGAGCACAAACTACCGAAATTTTAACAAAAAAATCATTATATGATAATGGTCTGTTAAGTCTATTAATAACAACAATTGAATTTTCTCACAATTTTTAGGTCATTTGTATTTTGTCGATATTAACGATGATTGTGTCACACGGCAGAGTTCCAATCAATTCACTAGTTCTACCTTGTTTTTACATTCTGTAGCAATGATAACAACAAAGTGCTGGCTTCAATTCATACAAATGGGGGTCGTGAATGCACATTGTTGATGAGTTCAATAATATAACGAAATGACCAACCAGTGCTCCCAGGTTTATAGCGGTGGTCTAGTAATGATCGATTCATGACTTTAATGAAACACAACTATCTTCATAAAGCTTTTTTTTTATTTAAAAGATACTGAAATAAAATCATTTTAGTAAATATAACTGAAACATACAATAAAGCCAATATAAATCTTAATTGTAATAAGCTTTTGAAAGTAGGCAGTTTTGAAATGTTTAACAAGAAAATTCAAGTCATTGACTAATTAAAAATGATAGGTAAATCAACTAAAGAATATCTCATGATGTATCCACTATTTTCTCATTAAATAAATTGACCATAAACTTTTGAAAAGCATTTTCATGATATATATTTTCTTTGGGACAATCGCTAATCAATTTCTAAACAACAATTAGTGAGCAATGAATAGTTTAGTTCTATTGATAATCTCACTATGGAAACAATAGCAAATATTTGTGGAATAAACCTGTCAGTTCATTTTGAAGTAGATATTACAAATGAAGTCGCATATTTAAGCTTTTGTACTTGCTATCAAACCACATAAAATAACCTATTTACTGTCGGAACGTAAAAGCTTTCAGTGAGATGAATTCCACTTGTATAGAGGTACTGATTAAATGTACTCACAGAAACAGTGGAAATCCTTATTTAACAAAGTTGAAGGTTAATCCATGGCTTTATTTTATTGATTATTTCTTGTTTTCATTGAAATCAGTACAATTATGATCTCATGAATCGAGGTAATTTTATATACTTCCTGACTAGTCCAATAGACAAATATACAGCTTACACATCAACCACATTTTTTGCTTTTGCACTTTATTTGATGTATTACGCTATACTACTCATAAATCTTCAACAGATGATATTATTATCTTTCTTTTTGGAACTTGTGACCAATAAATTTTCTCCACTTGAATGTATAAATAATCCTCACCATTTACATTTACATGATTTAATAATTTTTGCTTTTTGTCAAAGGATTTTTTTTACGTTCTTTAATACTTAATATTCATTATGTACGACATTTATAGTATCTTAAAATCACTCGAAATATGCTGTTCAATACTAACTACTTGGATCATTGATTTCAACCTTACATAAAATTCTGATCTGATTTGTTTAAAATCTATCAAAATTTTTCCTCAGTAATTTTGATTCTTTTCTTTAAATGTTTCAAGAACTTCATGTCAGTTAACAGAATTTCCGGTAGAGTGAATCAATAATCTGCTTGGTTTAATCGCACACTATCTACATCCTTGTCCAACAGCATTAATGGAATATGGTTTCGTTACTATTCTACATTGGGCTAATTTAGAAACATTACTCAGATGGTGTGAACGTCTTTGAATTGTTTTCAAATACAGATTAGTTACACAGTCGATTTGAATCTTGTTATGAGATTGACAAGTTTGTTGTTCTTTAGAGAAAGTGTTAGACATAACAAAAATTTGTATTCGATTTAAAAGACATATCCTTATATCATATTTTATAAGCCATTGATCTGACGGCTATTACTGTTGAGTAATTACTCCTAATGATAGTGGTGAGCAAAGTAAAAAGCCAGCAAGAAAAACCATTCAATAAGGTAACGCCCAACCAGTGAAAACTTGAAGTATTTTCTCTAAACGTTTGGATTTTTTGACAAATAAACCCAAAATTAAATTTTGACATAATTTCTATTCATACTGCTTGATTATGAGAAACCGTTTGTTGAAACCCCCCCCCCTTAGATTTGAACTAGTTAGACTACAGAACATAAGCAACTGAAATCGACCACTTTCAATAGTCTTAAATAAGGTCCTACTTATTTTTTGCTTGAAATTATTGTTTTATTCAATCAAATAATCAAATATTACACGGTTCCATAACTCTCGTATTTACACAGAATATTATTTAATATTCCATTTATTTAAATGTTACAAATTCAAAGAGGACTGATTGTCACTGCCGTTGCATGTATTATTTATTTCGTTATCGTATGGTTATATAGCATAGGATTATCCGGTCAATATCCTCAATTATATACAATAAGTGGAAATGAATATTTCAAGCACTGCTTAAAATCTAAACGTTCATGGATTGAATGTATTCAATATTTGAATGTGATAAGCAATCAAAAAACCATTTGTCTAGATTCATATTCACAAAGCTGGCCACCACCTTCTGTTACATACTTGATTGATAAACGTTTACGTGCTTTCAATCTTGCATTAAAGTTTTCACTTGCTCAGAATGCAGCAGATTCTAAGGATGAATACTTTTACAATAAATTTTCAGATACTATATATAACAACTATAAACAAGAAGAATTATTAAATGGTAACGAACCAGAAAACATGGGTTCAAATTCTACTGAGTACTCTATATTTCCGCAAAATTTAAACTTTACAAAGTTGGTCTATGATATACAAAATGCGATTCCTGTCCATATGGTAAGTCTAAATGTAAGTGTATACATGTGCTCCCTATTTTTACGATGGTGGATTGATTTGTGACAAATATCGCCTAGAGATTTAAACAATCCCCACAAAATTACGTCATCTGAAAAATGTCACAATTACTAAAAGAAAGCTTACAATCAGATTATATATAATAAGAGAGACGATGGTTTCACTTTATATACAATTTAATTTTAAATGATATAATACTTGAGTTTCCGCAATATTCTCTAAATATAACAAACTTTTTTGGCTTTTAGAAACCTATCAATAATCCAGACATTTTTGCACTCCGGGTTCCTCAATCAATCTGCCAACCATACAACAATGAGTTAATCCCACAACTGATAGTTATAATTAAATCATGTGTGTATAACTTCGAAAAACGTGATCGCGCAAGACGAACGTTTATGCAGAGGCAATTATGGCCGAATTTCAATGTTCAGTTTGTATTTGTTCTGGGTATTCCCATGGAAAACGAAACGAATTTTTTCAAATTTGATGGGAATACATATATTCTGGATACCAAGTGGTGGGCATTATCTAAACATTATGGAAGTTCCAAGTGGCCGTTTCTAAAACAATTATTGTTAGAGGCTGATTTACATGATGATTTGTTGATTGGATCATTTCATGATACGTATTACAACTTGACCAAGAAGCTGATATTTGGTTTCAGATGGCTCTCAGCATTTTGTCCAAGACAAGTTCCTTTATATTTGTTTATAGATGATGATTATGATTTAGTGCCAAAGAATGTAATAACATTTTATAACAATTACACTGAAGACTATCTAAGAAATATGAATGGAGGTTATATTCGTTCATCTCGAACTGTTTTCAGACCAATGGTCAATGAGACGAGCAGTGTTTGGGCAATGACTGTTAAAGAATTTCCATGGATAAATTATCCACCGTATTATTATGGATTGACTTATGTGATCGGTGCAAGTTTGGTGCACCGCCTTGCAATTGCTAGTGCTTTTATTAAAGAATTACGCATTGATGATGCCTATTTGGGGGTTCTGTTTGATAAGTTAAATATAAAATTGGTTAATTTGAAGATCATTGGTCATTCTTTGACTAAAAAGGATATTGCTTCAGGTGGGATTAATGTGTATTATAAAACCAGCAAACGTATTATGAACTGGAGTAGCGGTACGCCAAATTAGATAAACATTTACCTATTTTTAGTTCGTAATAAAAGATCTCTTCATTTTAGGTGATAAAAATGAAGCATAGAGAACTTGTTGGTTTTTTATTCATAGACTAGTTGAATAACAATTAATTTTTCTTTTTGCTATATTCTTTTATTGTCGAAATAAATGTAAATTACCTGAAATTTACTTCTAATAACTATTTATCATGTAAGTCTAAACATTAAGAACTATCTGATCTTTAAACTTGACTTCAATAGCTTCATTTTTGTAGCAGGTCTTACTGTTTGACAGAAGACAATTTAATTTACAAAAATTTGAATTTTTAGACACTTTAGAAACATAATTAGCTTGATGACAAGCTTTTTTGTTAGTTTGTATGCTTATGGATAATATGCTGACGGAGTAAAGTTAATAATTTATGAGTAGAATGAATAGGAGAGATCATTGTTTAAAGACACAACAGAAAAGTGGAAAATTATAGTGTGATTTACCAAGTAGGTAAATGTAAATCATTCTTAATGAATATATAGTTCGATTAGAAATGACAACATAATTAAGAATGGTAAAATAAGCGATGAAACTTCTGAATTCTAATTAAATTTCGAATGAAATGAATAAGACAAAACATGTCATGTAGAGACGGTATAGAACAAAAACTAACACATAAATTGAAGAATACAAATAATGAATAGGGACTGGTGCAATGGTAATAAAACTAACCCTTCAAACTCTATCATTACACAAAGGTCTGACGCTATACTGGATACAGCTGAAGTAATTAAAATCCATATGAAATGTACCCGTATATTTTCGGTAGATTTTGTTCTCTATCGTGAATAACTTGGAATGATGATAAAAGTATAAGTAAGTTTTGGACAAATAAACACTGAAAAATGAAAGATTTAGTCATAAAATTCTCAAAGAATTTGAGATCATAAAGTTAAACCCTGGCAACGATTTGCGATTATACCTTTTCTTTTTGATATAGTTCGGCAACCCCCTCTAATTGTCAAGTTTATCATTATCACCACAAAAATCAATAAAGACGTATCTACTTTTGAATGCGAAGATGGTCATAAAAATACAAACAATTATTCACTTCTTAAAAGGACTTCATTTTAAGACTGTAAATTCGTTTGTAACTAACTAATGAGTACAGTAGATAATTTGAATTTTAAATGAAATAACTAATTACAAGTGGAATTCTTTTTAACATTGGAATGAGACTGTCAAGTATCACTAATTAATGAAGTATAAATGTGTAGAAAATAAGCAATCATGCAGAAGTTTCCGAACTGTTTAAATTCACAGCTATTCTTTGTATTTGTTATCCGCAATATTGACAATGACTGTTAGATTAGCATAAGTAACTATTTTGAAGAAGAAGTGCCTATCGCTTCAGAGTTTCAACTTACCAAGTTGTAATGATTTGACTGAATTCCTAATACATTAGGTTTTTTGAGAACGTCTATATTGCAAGTTATTGAAGAATCAAGCAAGTACTTCGAAATGCATTTTAAACCAGCCAGTGGTACGTTAACTCATCCTTATTTCATCTATTACACTTTCAACGCGTCAACAAAGTCTTCACTTAATTCATCTAAGAATATCTGTAAACAGTTTGAGTCTTCATACAATCTTCATACAATCATTCGAAGTCGATTCTGTAAGGAACTTTTATTCATGAAATTTGAAAATACATACCAAATCAAGGTCGCATCATAGTTTTTAGACAGCTTAAATACTTAAAAATTAACATACTTAACGACAGATATACCGAGATAACTATAAATAAGAATTTAGAAAACATTATACTGTATGAAAGTTAGAAAGTATTCTGACGTAATAACTAAATAAATTTTTGAAATCATGGATGATTTGAATACGGAGTCAACAGAATTATTAGGAATGGTGCATGTTAAACATCAAATACACAGCTTCATTTTATCCACAACGTACTATAACTTACTCTATTCGATTCCTAATTCTCTCAGTCTGAAAATCTTACAATTCCTTATTGTAGCATATTATTTCTAAACTTTGCCAATATTCATGTTACTTACTGGATTTAAGCCTAAGCTGATAAAAAAAACTAAATATTTTAATTTATTTTTCATCTCGTTCAGTATGGTAATTTGAGCTTCCCTCCTATTCATATGGATAAAAAAAAATACAGCTTGAATAAAATAAATCTTGTTTAACGAACAAGGAAACATTATAAGCCAACTACTACCGGAAATTCAATTGGTTACTAATTTCTTCGATATTGAACTAGACTATCTTATCATTTTCAATAAATAGTGTAATGAACTGATAAAGCTATTTGAAAGTTTCACAAGCTTTGATCCTTCGTTGATTGAATTTAAAAGATGAAATCATTTAAACAATATTCGTCAACATTTATTTAGTCTGTCAAAACATTTATCCATGATTATTTCTAGTCCACCAATGATAAACCTATCTGGATTTCGTTGATAAGACGGTTAAAAATGATAAACTTTTGCGAAGTTAACGAGTAGAGGTTGTGAGTTATAGATTTTTGTAGGTTACGAAAATATTCTTGCTACTTAAAAGTAAATAGTTAGCAGTATATGCATACACCTATAAGGTTACAAAGTTTAGTTCATTCTAATCTTAATCATTACTCACTAGTCATTACTCTAACCTTAATGTTTAATGCTAATACAAACTCCTAAACCTAACGATGACTTATGAAATAAACTCCTAGCTATTCTACATGTTTGCGTCAGAAAATATTCATTGATACTTACCTGCATGCTGATTAGCTGAAAATTTATTTCATTTTCTCAAGCTTATTGCAGTAGTTACTGAAGATCTTGAATGAAGCATGCTTAAATCCTTGTCACTAAACGCTTTTTTATTGATCACTGTACAACGAGTTAAAAATGTGCATTTGGTTTCATACACCTATATTTACCAGTGAAAATCAACTCATTACTGGAAAGTATGTGTATAGATTGTGTTTTAATTTTTGTACACCTTAGAGTATACAGAAAATAAAACAGTACCAAATAAAAAATAATTTATTTAAAATTGAAATTAAATAGATTTCAATTAAAGATTTTAAAGTATTTACCGATATTTGTTAACTGAACTACCTAACATTTATTATTTTATGAAATACTGTATATTAGTATATATATATACATGTATATATATATATATATATATATATATATATGTGATCAGCCTTGATTGGTATTCAAATGAAATTATCTAAACAGTCAGTTCAACTTATCATCAAACAAATATGCATAAGAACATTAACATTATCAGTTAAAATAATCACTGGTATTAGAAGAATCATAAATGCTATCCTTATAATTTTATTTCTATTTTACTCAACCATTTACATTTTAAATAGAAACAGTTCAAGAAATTTTCAATATTTGCGAAACTATACGATATGTTCATATGATAAACTAGAAGAAGTAGCATTAACCGAAGCATCATGGATTAATTTTACTGATCATTTAAAATTTATCAATAATCATTCTTCAGAACGTATTAAAATGACTAATTTTTTCACTGAGTTCATTTCTTTCCATAATCAAAATGATGAAATCATTTACAAAAATACTGCATTACTAGATTTAAAAATTCATCACAATATTCGTCATGATAATCGTATTACAGACAGTTTTAATGATGATTATTTGATGAAAAATGGTAGCTACATTGGCCATCCTGTATTAACAAAAAACGAAAAAGGTGAAACGGTAGCATTCATCTTAACAGAACACAATCCAAAATATTTTAATGTAACAGCAGCATTACAAGCAATCTCATCTGGTCTTTCAGTACACGAAGTATGTGAAATAAAGTTTACTACTCCATGATGTCTAAACACTCGATGATTTTGTTACCAAGCAATTTGTTTGACTAATGTGTAGTACATCGAAATAAATTAATGAGATAAGTTATTTTTTCGAAATTTATCAATAGCTTAAGAGCTTAATTATGTGTAAACAACACCAAAAGTAAATGGTGTTTTAAATTTCATTTTCTCTTTTGTTAGGTAAACAGAATAACTTTTATAAACAGAAATGGATAGTGTGACTAGCAGCGGAATACAGGACGCGCATTTTGGTCTTTTTGAAACTCGTTAGCTTGATGCACCTGCATCTCAGAGTTGATATTTGTTCATGGACTCAAGCCCAATACCGTTCATTTCAAACACCACCACCTTGTCCACTTTGCTACTGAATCCGAACAGCCACCGGCTTGTGTAACAGAGGCAGTCCTAATTATCGATGAGAAGCTTTAAACTACCAATTCATATGTATTAAACGTCATGCATTACTCGAGTGAGTGGCTGTCTGAACTCATTAGCTAAGTGGATAACGAGATGGTGTTTGAAATGGACTCTACTTGGTCAGAGTACCGGAATGAACATCAACACTAAGATGTAGGCACATCCAGATAACGAGTCTCAAATAGAATGAAACGCGCATGCTGGATTCAGAAGTTGTATCGATCATTACATATGTTGTGACGACGAAACGCGTTTTATAGTAACAGTCGTCAGGACGAGTGTAAAAGGAATTTTCGAATACATTGAATACCCACCACCACAGGCTATCGATTGCTGTAAGGTTTTGTGGATTCAGAACTCAAAATATGATAAGTTTAACAAAAAAAAGTAACTAACACCCGAGTAACCTTCATTATGAACATGCTATTGAATTAGCTCAAACACTTGTTCATAAGCTGGTTACATTCACTTACTCAACCTCTATTAAGCGTTCACATAGTCGCAGAGCAAATTTAAGAAGACCATGTAGACGAAAGCAGGAATTTTTATCTTAATAACGTTCTAACGCATATTCGATCGCAGTAACTCTTGAAGTAACTAATTCTAATGGTTTTAAATTCGATTCACTGTTAAGGTAAACTAGGTAAACATTACCATATCCATAAATATTTATAGTGTTTGATATTTTAAACCTTTAATTTGTGTGAATCAAAATGGTTTAACTATATTTCATAATCTTCGTCGTTCTCTTACTGATGCATTCAAGAGGTTTCTTTAAGTTGGTATAGATATAAACCACTCATCAGTTGTTTCTTTCATTTATTCACATGTTTCTAATAGAAGTTTTGATCCGTGAATTTTCTATTTATCTTTTATTTCAGATACCATGCAATAACAATAACCTAATTGTTATTCACTTACCAAAACGCACCTGTAATCCTTGTTCTAGAATTAAAAATGTTGATCTTGTTGTAATCGTGAAGTCATGTGTCTATTGCTTCGAACAACGAGCATTTGCCCGGATGACTTATATGAACAAGGATTTATGGAAAAATTTCAGTGTACAATTCGTGTTTACAGTCGGATTACCAACACCAAATGAAACGAACATCTACTACTTCGATGGTGTCACAACTAGCCTAACAATAGATTCATTGCAATTATCAAGAAAATATAATATTTCGAAATGGTCAGCAGCCAAAATTTTAAGTAATGAAAGTAAAATGCATAATGATATATTGATAGGTGCATTTCATGATACTTATTTTAACCTAACATCGAAAATGATGTTGTCTCTGCGTTGGGCTGCCAACTTCTGTAATAGTCAGTCACCATTATTCTTATTTATTGACGATGACTATGTGCTACATCCGAACAATACCATCAACTTGATAAGAAAATTTAACTACTCTCAATTAAAATCCCTTGCAGCTGGATCTGTATATTTTGGGAAAGTTGACAGACCTATAAATGGATACGGTGGTCGATGGGCAGTCTCTACCAATGAGTATCCATGGGACTACTATCCACATTTTTTCTTAGGAATAGGTTACTTCTTAGGAGCTGATGTTGTACACGATGCATCGTTTGCAATGTCATTCACTAAACAACTGAGAATTGACGATGTGTATTTAGGTATTATTTTAAAAAGACTTAACAGAACATTAACACATTTAGACAATATTCATATTCATCCAGGGAAGGATCATTTGAAATCAGGCGCATTTATGATTACCAGATATTTAGCTGAGAATTATGTAAATTGGACGACTGGACAGATAACAGAGGACAAAATCACAAAAAAAATAAATTGATGAAACAAAAAACTGGTGAAATAAAACTTGTAAATTCTGTGTATGATTGTAAATATTGTGGAAAATATATTTTGAAAAGAAGGACAGTATTACTGTTTTTAATGAAGTAGTATCATAATTATTGGAATAATCTGCTTTTTAACACGATTTTAAAGCGTACTGGGGTTTAGTGAACCGAAGAAACACGAAATATAGTTGAAATAGTCATATGAAAGACACAATAAATTATAGAGTCTTCTTTGATCACCTTGTTCGAGGTGTTGTTTCGTAACGTGAATATTCTAAATGATGTCGTATTATGCGAGTTGGGCGCCTAAAATGTGAGTTATCCATTGTCATTATTAACAAGTAACTAAGAAAATCAAATGTAAGTGGGCTTACTTACTTATCAACATTGAAAACACGAAAGTACTGCCAGCTCCTTCGTCTTGCTATTACATTTCACATGTAGTAGACATCCACGATCGCACCACAGCTTCAAGCACGCACGAAATCTGATCTCCGTTACGAATGCTTAACTTTTGTATAACTGGCTGGTTATCCAACTATATACTTCTCTAAACTCAATAAATTCGTGACAGTGCGTCAGCAGCTTACATCGCCTTCAGTGGATAATCGTTTTACACCCATCGTTTAACATAATTCGAAAGTGCCGTTGCCAAGATTGATTCGTAAATGAAAATGTGAAAATTCTACAGTGCTCACAAAATATCTTACTGATAATATTATACAAATGTTAAATACGTTTATTCAACTGGATTTCTAATAATTTATGCACTGATCACGATCATCAGAAATTATAACACTCAGTTCTATATCTTTCGGCTGAAACTTCTTTCAGTTATAAAACACTCACATACACACAAAACAGTCACCAACAGCTTAAAATTAATCTATAATTCAATCGAACTATTTCAATTGTCACAATGTCAGTTATTGAGAATGAGTTACAATATTATAGACAATATGAAATGATACGCAACATGGTGATTCAGAGTATATTGATCTCAAACATACACACAAACGTCCATACATACATGCATAAATACAACAAAAATACATACACGTAAACAAACAACCAAACTAGTTTAAAGAGTCATGGTCAAATCAAATTTTGATTAGAAAAACAACAAAATGATTTTTGAAACCAAGACTCGATCAGTGCTAGACCACCATCAAAATCCCGTAATACAAAAAATACTTTGAAAGGAAGACGAGTATAAAGTTACAATCGAATCCGTTCAATAATGTTAAATGCATTAACGATTCGCTTCACATACATGAATTCACATTATCTGCAAGAGAGAGCTGACAATTCTGACCAAAGTGGTTTGTGTTAGATATCAAGAATACGATTGTCGACAGCTTTTCGAGAAATTACTCGCTAAAGCTTCATTGTTTTAATGCACATTCTTGCATCTTGATAACTGCTTACTTGCAATACTCATACAGTTGGTGAGTCCACCACATTAAATATGTTAGTAAAATGATTTCCCAAGAGGTAGATGGAAGAACTGTTGATGTTGTTAGTTTAATAAATGTGCAGATAGTTAGTGTTATTTCTTATCTCAGTGAATCTATAACATCGGCATCAGCTGAAAACAACCATAACGAATTTTCAGTCAGATTTTAGTCAGTTAGAAATAGCTTTTATAAAAGGATAGTTTATAGAAAGAAAGCAGCAATATTACAAAATGTAAACACATTATGTACAATTTATAAATCTATTGAATTTTGGAAGTCAGTTTGGATATAAATCGTTAAAACTACGACATACAAATTCACCATTACGGATGAAAGTTATCAATTTTATCGGATCCTATTTTATAAGGACTCAAATATATTTTTAAGAGTTCTTTCATTGTTCCCAAATAAACCATAATACAAAAATGCTTTGTAGTTTTTTAAATGAGTAAAATTTATACAGGAGTAGAAGAAACACCATCTGATTGGTTCACCCATAAAATATAACACGATCACATTAAGTATTGTTTTAGGACTAATAGTTCAAGGTTAATATCAAGCAAGTGACAGAGTTGATTTACCAGTGAAATACATTATACCAACAAACATTTGAAAATTTTATACGTCTAAAAATATACTTTTACTCTATAGTTGCAGAAAATAGTTTTATTTTTATTATAAACGAGGGAGAGATTAGGAAAAACTTCTGGGCGTGGGTAGGATAGATATTAAGAAAGCACCCAACTGCATCACGAATCAGGCCCTTACTTGGTACCCTCAAAACCCAAAGCAAATTAGACAGACCAAAGAATACATTACATCGAGAATTGGAAGCAGATAGGGAAAGACGAACAGTGGTTGGGAAGAACTGTAAAGGAAAATTCAGGACAGAGTATGTTTTAGAATGTTGGTCAGTGGCCTTTGTTTCTTGAGGGGTGACAGGCGCAATTACGTAGTACTTACAATGTCATTATATTTGTATTCACACAATATATTAGATTGAAGTCTAGTGAAAATCTGAATGAAATCAATATTTTACGCAGATACTTATAGGCCTTATTTACATAAAAGTAACTTTTAATATTTCAGAACTTTTAAGCATTGAAGCATTTATACGAGCATTTGTGAAGAGCTGAACTTACCTTTGGGCAGAAGTAGGACTGTAAGTATATGGAAGACACCAAAAGTTAAATTTCTATTTGAAATAATCACAGTTACTGAAATTTGAATGAATTCAACGATACTTTGGGGGAAAGTGGTATAAACTCCTTTAGAGAAACAGTTAAGAAGAGGACTTCTGCGAATGATTTTTCAATCATGTCTAAATGATAATGATGATTAAATAGTTTGATGCTAAATTGTTCAAATGTGAATATAGTTAGTTTGTTTGATTAATATAATCCAATCAAATTAATCAGATAACAGTGTAGGTGAAAGCTGATGTTCTCAAATTAATGATAGATTTTATTGTTCAGTTTATGATGCACATTAAAATTACCAATATTTTCTTTGTTAAAAACGTTTCATTGGTTCTAACATCTAATGGCCGTTAATTACCAAGAAGTAAAAATGACTCGACAACTTACCAGTAATCTTGACGAATTTCCAAACATTCATCAAATAGGTTTCAAAATGCAATTGTTTCAATTTTTTCGACAGTAATTTTTTAGGTATTTCGTTTGCACAAGCGTTTTATGCCAAGTCAAAATATCTCTTTTGCTAGTAATAATTGGAAGATATAAACAGAAAACAATAACATATCATGTTGTTGTTACAAAAATGTGTATGTCTTCTGTGATGCCCTACACCTACATGTAGAAAATGATTTCATATATTCACCACTTTATTACTTATGTATCAACGGACGCCTGAGTAGTCACTTCATCAGTGTTTCGAAAGTGTCTGCTACAGCTAATTAAAATCGAGAGAAATGAAAACCCTTTCAGAATATGGAATGTGTTTTTCCAATTAAAAGTATAACAAATACCTGAAATCTTTAGTGCATCAGGTGGTTATTGACAAAAGTAAACTGGAAGTTGAAGCTGCTTCCGTAACTCGTCTAAACAGTTAGTATGACCTAATCATGCTTCACTATTTATTTACCGTTATGGTCGTTCCCAGGATGAATAGAGATGATACCCAGTGAATGACCTAAAATAAGCCTACTTGATAAGGAATAAATATCCTTGTTTTTCTCTCAACTGCATGTGTGAAATCGAGTGACTTCAGCAATAAGGTGCATTTCACCTTCCCAAAAAACTTTAACAAAGAATTACATTCATTAGGCAATCTGTCAATTACAACACAGCAACATTTGGTGGTATTTAAAACAATTAGTCCCTTTTATAGATTTTGATAGGACAGTGAGAAGACGTAATTGATCTGAAAAATGTCATGTATTTGCGCCATTCATTTCGAACAATCTGGTCACACATATTTGCTTGTCAACGCATTTTATATGAAGACCAATAAAACGTCAATTCAATAAAAGTCAAGGACTCCAACAACCTCAAAATTCATCCTTCAACATTTCTATACAATGTTTTGAAGGAGACCTTGGATATTAGAAAATCAAAACCCCCCTTAAGTCTACAGAAACAATTTGTTATAACCTTAAATTTACCCTGATAATATTTAAGCCCAGGGTTAAGTGACAATTTCCTACCTTTCCTTATTCTTTTCATATTACGTTAATTTTCTCTCTCCTACATTTACAACTCTCACCTTATGTCTATTTGAACTTTAATTTAATTGACCTTTTATTAATCTTCATATAAAATGCGTTGACAAGCAAATATGTGTAACCAGATTGTTCGAAATGTATGGCGCAAATACATGACAATTTTCAGATCAATTACGTTTCACTGTTCTATCAAAATTTACGGGTATGTTTACTATGAAATCTTGTATGGGGGTGATTGTGATCTGTACAGACGGCAAGCTAATTGTGATGGAGTTTCGTTATCTGAGTTGGATGTTTTGGTTGTGGAGCTTTCATTGCTCTCCTGAGCAACATCAACAGCACAAACTTCAGATAGAAGTTAGTTCGAATAAAGATATTCAACATCAAAAGTCTGTAGGACACTCATCATGAGATTTGCAATTTAAAAAGTTTTTTACTGGACAAGCTATCTCATAATTAAAGAGAAATATGAGAATAAACTCACTAACGTTAATCACTTAACCCATTTAGCCTAATCACAAAACTTTAAAATTTGATACACAAATTAAAATTGTGGACTACAGTATTTACGCTAATTAGATGGTCATCAGGTTTATCTAACAATAGTCTCTCCAAATCTGCTCTTAAAATTATTGATTACAGTACTAGATTAGATTGTCAGTTTTTCGTTTATTCAACCCAGTGATGTTTATATACATATGAGCTGTGAAAAAGGGACATTTTAATTACTTTACTGTCATAGTTGCGACAAGTGTGTTCAACCACAAGAGTTTCCTTCTTATGTGGAAATACTCGGGTTAATTTTAGCCTGTAATTTCTAGACTGATGGTTAGATCCTACCAGTTTACGGTGATTTTTACTATACTACTGACCACTGAGTAGTAGTATGTTATTTATAGTTGATTTAGAGTGAATTGATTTCAACTTGTTGCCATAACTCTCCCATTATTATTTAATTTCTGCTTTCCTGTTATTAACAAGGTTAATTTCGACGTTCTGTTTAGAGATTGTGACGGGCGAAGCTTAAAAATGACAGGTATAAACGTAAAATTCTCGTTTATTATTAGTAGTCTGGCTTCATCCCTTTTTTCTTGTATCTTATTGGTTGAGTTAATTATCGACAAATTGACTATGTTCTTATTGGTTAAAACATATTTTGCATAGACAGCCATTTTGAACCCATCATTATTTCCGTTGGGCAATTTTACGATTGACTGTTATTGTTGCTCAATCACCTTGAATGTAAGCTTAAATTTAATTAATTACTATTTATTGTAGAACCCAATTTTATATTAATAATATACAATATATATAAATGTTTCCGAGTAACCAAGACAGTCTTCTGACTTAAATAGACCTCAGGGGCAGTTGTCCCTTGGGCCCTACAGTCACGCTCCCTGGTCGCTAATATCCACGCTAATACAACTTCCTTTACAAGTTCTTCAAGAACTACCCTTCTGTGCGGGCAGCCGGAAAGTGAAATCTACTCTCATACCCCTAACATCTCAGGAGACCTAGGGTGTAGTTTTCAGGTGAATTCAACCGCTTGTGCCTAAGAATCTGACAATGAAGTAGTCACTTTCTCGTAGTTAATAAATAACTGAAATAAATAAAGAAAAGTTTAAATTGTAAAATGGAAACAGCAGCATACTCAATAACATGATAGGTCTAAACATATCAATGTCATGTCATTTTTCAGTCAAAGTAATTTTGTTTGCGCGCTTAAAGTGTTATTTATGTGCATTATTGAGGGTGGGAAATAATATGTAATTTAAGACATGAAGTAGTGAAGTTAAAAATAATGACATTTTTTAGGCGTTTGCATAGAACTGTTTAGATTAATGAATTGAATCAAATGTGACGATTTGGATAAACAGTCCAGTTTCGATGATTAGCCAGGCCTTCTTTCGTCTTGACGAAGAGATGAATCATTTCATTTATTAGCATGTCCCCCCTGTCCTCAACGTGAAGGAAGGCCTGACTATTCATCCAACCTAGACTGTTTATCCAAATCGTCACGTTTGACTCAAATCATTATCGACACAATTCTAAGCAAACGCATAAAAAATGTCATTATTTTTTGTTTCCTTTTTACAATTTAAACATTCGTTAGTTTATTTTGGTTCTTTATTTATTTACTCTGAAGAAGTGACTTGAATTCAGTCACGAAACTTTAGAAATATAAATTTCTATTCATTAGGAAATTACCAAAAATCATAATTACTTTATTATTATGATCATTATTTTTATTTATTGATGAAGTTCTCCATAGATATGTTGAGTCAGGTGGTAGAAGTACAGACCGGTTGTTCTAATAGCGCAATTCTACTAATCTTTTCTTGTAGTTTCTCCTACTACAAAAAATTATTTCACGTCCATGGAAACTAGCTTCCGAAATTTGGGGACATAAATGTTTTCGAAGGATCATCCGAGTTTGGTAAGATCAGCTAATAAATTATACTGATGTTGAGCAAAGACATCGTCAGTCAGTTTATGAAATTGTAAACGTAGACTGTCTGATACGTCCTGCTTAGACAGACCATGATACGTAGCATACAAGTACAATAGGAGAGGAACTTAAACATGACATTACTTGCAGAAGACATTTAATCTGGCACTAACTCATATCGGTTGATACAAACTCATGGCTAGTGTCCATGTGCTAGACATAATATGCTGCTGAAAATCTTAAATGACCTTGTTAGAAGTCCACTGCAATGGCTTGTAGATATCTTCCTAGCGATCTCTTACTTTTTACCAATCTACTTCATTGGTTCCTTCCAAATCATATTTATTATGTTTGCTTTTTGCTATTATCAGTATCATTATTACGTCTTCTTGCCTTTCATCATCTTGATTCTTCCTCTGTGTAATAATGTGGTGTGTGATTGCTTAAAGTGATGCACAATAATGTCAGGTTCATTGGTGCTTTTGAATGAGTGAACGATGGGATGAATAAAGGCTAAACAGCTTTACTTTTTACAGCATGTAGTTTAATTCCCGAATTTCTGTGTATGTACAACTTGTTTTGATAGGAAATTTTTTTACGCTATCTGAGAAAGCTACTTGGCTTCACCTACAGTTGACATTGGAAATCTAACAAGTCTTTCTATCGGGGCTGAATATTTCATGTAGAAATGAGAGACTATTTATGTGTTATTATTTGATTGATATTTATGCTTTCTGAAAGCTAGTTGATTAGAAATTCAGAGTTTGTTCTGTGAACAAATTATCAATTTTGGTTACATAATTTATTTCGGCAATTGTGTCAGTCAGTCGCGCGTTCACTTCAGTGACAAAATAGCTGATTCATTCAAACGGAATGCTTGGAATTATCTATCGTAATCCACTGACGGCATGAAAATGATTAGTAAACTCACTTGTCGATGTGCGAAGTGTCCCAATTCTAAACTCTTGGGCTTCACAGAAATTCTTGAAACCCATTGAAGGGAGTTGGGAGTAAAACAGTGCAGAATTTCGTGAAGTCAATGCATTTTCCGAAAATAATTAAAGACATTACTTATGAGCTCCATGAAACATATTTTCTTTAATCAGACTACCCTTATTGTATAAATTGTTTGATAAAGTGACTAATGAGAATTTCCTTCACCTTGTACGCTTATAAAAATATTCGCTTAGGAAAGAGGAAAGTCCACACTATCTAACAAAATCTTATACAGTGGTTGGTTTATTGAAACTTCAATGTATATATCACCCTTTGAAACACTGGTTATGCAGTCTCAGATTCATTTTTGCATGAATCTAAGTCTGCAAGCAAAATAATAATAGAACTGACTGGAGATGTTAGCGAAAATGATTCTGCTGAGTCAAAAGTAACAATTAAATTGTTCTGGCCAGTTTCATTTATAGACTAAACTTACCAGTTTGTATCAACCATACTAGATTTTACTAAAATTTCCTATCATAAATTAATTTATCAACTCATAAGAATTTCTCAAATAACCCGAACACTAGATTTTGATTTGATGATAAGCTTATTTAGACTATTTAATACATAGATTTTGTCAAAATGCCAATAATGTAAACAATATGTGTAATTCTAATTTTGTAGAATCATCGAAATCGAGAATATCAGAACTCATCTATGGAAGTGAAGACTAAAACGAAAAAAACTAATAGTGACTTTTGGAGAAAACATGCATTCTGACATTGTATGAAGATTTTGCTGCAAAATGAAAATTACTACCTTTCTATTATGCTTAAAAAGGGAAAGCCAGAACATGCATTTCTACAGACATGTTTGTTCATAGAATAATGTGAAAAACTCATGAAATCACCTTCATGCACACCGTCATAAATGCTTCGATTTACTTTTCTAAAAATGTTCAGAGTATTTATTATTACCAGCCTTATCATTTAGAAAACTAAACTAATTAGTAAACTAATCAAAAATTCTGAAAAGTATTCTTTGTTATTATTATAAAAAGACAATTATTTAATTAGGGAATACGAAATTTATACCTATAATATTACGTGAATCATGTTTGATATTCTTTCCTTCCGGGAAGTAATATTTGATGTATTCACTGATTAATTTAGCAAACAATAATTTGTGAAAGTTTGCAACTCAAACAATTCAACTATTTTTTGGAAATTCGGTCGTCATTTCTTCGTTTTGAAAATAACGAAGATATACGTTCATTACAGATCTTCACCAATCACTTTGCATTTCTTTTGATTGTTTTGGCAAGGTTGTTGATTATACGCTAGAACACGAGCATTCTTATTGGACAAGCTTCTTATGTGTTTTATTTTTAAATCTGATTGGGTAAACTTAAGCTACTGAGAAACTACACTAGTGGCATTTATAAATTAATGAAAATTAGTGAAACAAATAATCTTACCATGGAACGTCTTAAAGACTTTACTAGATTCTGCTCAACAGTTAGATACAGAGTATTAATAATCTTGGCATTCTCAACTATTAGCTTTGGAATTTGGTATATATGGGGTCTTAGTCTAAACGAAATAGGACAGTACATTTCAAACTACCAAACAGCAATATGGAATTTCGCTGGACGGCCTACTTATTACACAAACTTCAAAGATTTCAGAAAGTGAGAGAATGTTCATTCACATATTTATGATGCTTTTTCAGTGACGTTATGATTGGGCGTCTTCAGCTGAATAAAACCGAGGTTAGTTTAAACTTATTTCTAACTTGATTAGCTGTCAATTAAATTTTATTATGGGTGCCCATTATGATATGCCTAAAGGTAACGTATTATATTTTCATGTTATTTTTGTACATAATATTGTTTCCTGTCAGCGCGATAACGACAAACTAATTTTCTGATTGATATCCTAATCACAAAATGGTAAACGCGCAGTTTGGGGACGAGTCTGTCGGAAAAGAGAACAAGACTTTTTCGCTGAATTCAAATGTCACGTAAAACATGCAGCGAAAAATATTTATATAATAAAATAAATCTATTTACTGCAACTATAGAGTAAAAGTATATTTTTAGACGTATACAATTTTCAAATGTTTGTTGGTATAATGTATTTCACTGGTAAATCAACTCTGTCTCTTGCTTGATATTAACCTTGAACTATTAGTCCTAAAACAATACTTAATGTGATCGTGTTATATTTTATGGGTGAACCAATCAGATGGTATTTCTTCTACTCCTGTATAAAATTTACTCATTTAAAAAACTACAAAGCATTTTTGTACTATGGTTTATTTGGGAACAATGAAAGAACTCTTAAAAATATATTTGAGTCCTTATAAAATAGGATCCGATAAAATTGATAACTTTCATCCGTAATGGTGAATTTGTATGTCATAGTTTTAACGATTTATATCCAAACTGACTTCCAAACTTTAATAGATTTATAAATTGTACATAATGTGTTTACATTTTGTAATATTTCTGCTTTCTTTCTATAAACTATCCTTTTATAAAAGCTATTTCTAACTGACTAAAATCTGACTGAAAATTCGTTATGGTTGTTTTCAGCTGATGCCGATGTTATAGATTCACTGAGATAAGAAATAACACTAACTATCTGCACATTTATTAAACTAACAACATCAACAGTTCTTCCATCTACCTCTTGGGAAATCATTTTACTAACATATTTAATGTGGTGGACTCACCAACTGTATGAGTATTGCAAGTAAGCAGTTATCAAGATGCTAGAATGTGCATTAAAACAATGAAGCTTTAGCGAGTAATTTCTCAAAAAGCTGTCGACAATCGTATTCTTGATATCTAACACAAACCACTTTGGTCAGAATGGTCAGCTCTCTCTTGTAGATAATGTGAATTCATGTATATGAAACGAATCGTTAATGCATTTAACATTATTGAACGGATTCGATTGTAATTTTATACTCGTCTTCCTTTCAAATCATTTTTTGATGGTGGTCTAGCACTGATCGATTCTTGGTTTCGAAAATCATTTTTTGTTTTAGTATTTCTCATCAAATTTGAGTTGACCCCGACTCTTTAAACTAGTTTGGTTGTATGTTTATGCGTATGTATTTTTGTAGGTTTGCATGTATGTATGTTTGAGATCAATATTATTGTAACTCATTCTCAATAACTGACATTGTGACAATTGAAATAGTTCGATTGAATTATAGATTAATTTTAAGTTGTTGGTGACTGTTTTGTGTGTATGTGAGTGTTTTATAACTGAAAGAAGTTTCAGCCGAAAGAAATAGAACTGAGTGTTATAATTTCTCTTTATCATTGAATTTAATTTTTCCTGTAACATGTACACTCTACAGCGTTTTCACCACTAAAACATTTTTTCTTGAAATAGCCTAATTGATGTACATGAGATTATACTAAATGTCGTATTTTATCAGTAACGTATTGTCTAAGCTTTTGATTTATCTCCAAACTCTTTAGAAACGTGAAATTATCATTTACGGAAAGATGTTGGCTTCAATGAACAAAGATGTGACTAACTGTCCAGTGAACAATTGCATTATTCATACTGATACAACTGAATGGGCTAAAAGTGATCTCGTTTTAATTCCAAACGGAATATTTCCTTCGGGAAAGCGCCCACCAAAACAAGCTTGGGTTGCGTTTGAATATGAATCAGCACTCCATACTCGACTTAGTGATGAGCTTAATGATAAAGTGAGTTTGTCAGTTTCGAATATACAATCGGATTATTTGCTTATTAAATAAACTACTGGTTAGTGATGGTTTTTCTTTTAAAAGTGAAAGGACAAAATCGTATAATAATAATAATAATAATAATCTATTTTATTTTCATGTGTTTAACTGCTTTATTTCATGCTTATTATTTATCTAAACTTTACATACAGGCAATTAGTAATTAAAGCACATAATCAGTAGTTGACTTGTACACAGTGTCTGCCACTAACTGGAGTCAGTAGACAAATACATGTGATTTTAAAGTAACATGAAATTTCTCTCCTTTTATGGCTGTTGTAGTGTAGACCTTTCAGAGTGAACCAACAACCAAAGATTTAACTATACAGATAAAAGTTTGATGAAAGTGAAAATTCGTATCATGACTTGTTGATTTCTCCCAGTTATCTATGCTTCGTTCTGTATCGAATACAATAATGACAACTAATATTTTTCACCCAATTTTGTCATCATGACATAAATTTAGTATCTACTCATGATTTAAGTTCACAGTCCGACTGCAAAAGTTTCACCTGCATATATATAATGTGATCTTTTAAGTATCTCATTTATTTTTCACACTTCTCAGATTAACTTCACTGCATCATATCGATTTGATTCAACTATTCGTACACCTTATGGAATGTACACACCAAATGAGCTGACAACAGACGATATCGACAAAACAATTCAATCAACAAAATTGGAGAATATCGCCAAAGGAAAGGATAGAGCTGTTGCTTGGATTGTGAGTAACTGTCACCCTAAAAGTCCAAGAAACGATTATTCAAATGAACTAGCTAAATATATTACAGTAAGTTAATGATATAAAATGATTCGACCAGCTGTTCTGTATTATAACTATTCTTATAATCATTCACAGTACTGATAAATAATGATTCATGCTTTTATTTAACTGTATTTAACACATTTTCAAAGATATTGCACACTTTCATTTCATGTATATGTGAATTATACAACTGCTGTAATTTAAGCAATAGTTGAAATATTTGCATTCGCTGTAATTTAATAGATTGGTTAATGAATTCTGATTTGAAATTCAATCAATTAAATTTTGTGTGATTGTTTTTCTAAATTTTTTGTTTATATCCCACTGGTATCTGCGTATTATGCGTAAATAATCTACTTGGAATCTCCAAATTCCTTCTAAACATACTCTACTCGTCACGAACAGGTTTATTTGGGAGTCTAGTAAATGACTTTTAACAGTGAGAAATGTATTGTAATGAAGTGTAAATAATCAAGATAATTATTTTCGAACCATTGATCATTCGATACAAATACTACCGAATCTTACAACTAGAAAACAAATGTTTGAAACGTTTGTCGAAAACAACCCTGACCTACTTGATTAATCAATAATACCATATTCGAATTAAACCAATGCATGTCACACATTCAAACTACAAAAACAATTAAACGTGTTAATCAAAACAACTACTCAGTTATGAAATACTTGTCTTTGTAAAGAAAAGTGATCGAAAGCATTACGGACCAGAAATTCACATACATAATCTTACTGGTTTGAAAGCACGCAATAGAATTGATTATTTTATGATGCAACCTTTAAAATGTCTGACATAAAGGTGAAGGTGATTTGAACATGCTAAATTGTACATGTTTACACAACGTATTTGTGTGATTTGATCATTGATTTGACTTAGAACATAAATTAATCATACTTTTGCATCATGTTTTCAGAATTATCGTGTCGTAATAATTTAAGTTTAAGTAACTCTTTATTATTCATAAACATCACTTTCTTTGACTTATTTTTTCGTTCATTTAGTGAATAAATTATTATTGGCATGAATATGAAGCCATCGAAACATTTTATTCTACTAAATTAATAAAATATCCAACGAATAAACATGAGTATTTTACGTAACCTGTAGCTACTAATGCATTTGTACAAATTATAAATTATAAAACATAAGATGACTGAGATAAATTAGTGTTTTACTTAAATAAAACAATAGAAATCTTGTATATTGTTACAGTTTGTCGCGGGATCTCAAATTAGTTAACTGCAAGTTTACTGATGTTCTAATATTTACCAACACAACTAGCTTCTATATTCTACCATGGACACTATTTAACCTACTATTTTTCATAACAGACTAGAGTTTAAGTTAGATACCGAAATAGCTAACATTATATAAAATAGTTTTAAAATCTTCGTATATTCCATTGTAGCAGAGTCTGGTGAAAGCGTACATGAACTTCTACAGTTCTTTATTTGATAGGAAGATGTACAGATTTTATATCCCAGTGAATAAAATAGTTCTACACGCCTAAACTTCTATTGTTTGCAAGCATGCCTCGAAGATTTGGTTACAATTTTTATAATAATGTTTCTAATTTTAGGTCGATGTGTATGGTCAATGCGGTCGGATGACCTGCTCTGGTTCAGAATGCTTTGATTTGGTACGGAAACATTACAAGTTTTACCTGAGTTTTGAAAATTCACTTTGTCAAGACTATATAACAGAAAAGTTCTTTTATAATGCCTTAATGTAAGTAAGTGTTGATTAAAAAACAAGTCAAAATATTTTGTAGGATGTTTTTCGGCTGAAAACTATCGATTCTAAACACTATGTAAAGAAGCTTGTTACATCATGAAGGCAGTTTTACAGATAAATAAATTGTTAGATAAGAAATTACTTATTTGCCGCTTTGTTTACAGAAATCAACTAAACGTAGAAACTAGGGTTGTTGGATTTTAAGAATATTCACTAAATATTACAATTATTCCTAGAAATCAGTGAGTGTATTTTTCTTGTTTTTATGGAAGTGGTTTATCATCCCAATAACAACATATACCTTAAAATATAATGCTGCTACTGGATCTTCAAAACTGATTCATTAGAAATACGATTGGCTATACTCCGTGGTGAAAATCAAATGTTAGAAAGTGTAGAACGGATCTAAAGGATAGGAATCTTCGGAAGCATCAGCTTATAAACCGCACTTACCAAGACACGTGATTACTGAGTTTTTGGAAACCTAATTTCGATCATTTAGTATATTATTTGCCTACATGCATCCCGAGTATTTTGAAGCGCTATTTTTTAAGAAGAGATATTCGCTTAAATAAAGACTGGTTTTCTGATCAATTACAAAACATTCGATACTCACATTTCAGCATCTAAATAAACCTTTGAGGTATTGAATGATTTAACCCACTACTTCTTTAAACACATGCATAATAATTTTTAGATTTTATTATCATAACTAATATCTATTTGACCGCAGTTTTCTGTAAGTAACTTAATATGTTAATATTCATTTAGGAACAATGCATTACCCATTGTAATGGGTGCTTCGATTGAAGAATATCACAAGGTTTCACCACCTCATTCTTTTATTCATGTGGATCAGTTTGAGAATCCAAAAGAACTGGCCAAATATTTGAATTACCTTGATAAGAACGACACTGCATACAATGAATACTTTGCTTGGCATAAAAGGGGTGTTGTGACTGTGTGGTCGTTTAAGCCAGAGTGTGAATTCTGTATACTTGCAAATGCTCTTACTTACTTCAAACCAACTGTACATGAAAACTTTATGTTTTGGTGGAAGGACGGATGTAAGAATAGGACATTAAGATGGTAAGACGGTTTTCCATACTGTATTAAGCTAAGGTTTTGCGTAAATGGTTTCTACACTTACCAATCAATTCAACTTGCATATGTTAAAGTGGCGAGGTGGAAATGAGACATCTAATACGAAATCTAAACATGGTGCGTCTTCAATTCAGCTTACAAAGCACAGAATGAATCAATGACTGATTTCCTTACACTTCCGAACAACATGAATAAGTATTGCCTGGAAATGATTATAAGATATACCGTTGTTGGTCTATTGAGATAAAAATAATAAACATAATAACCTCATGAAAATTCCAAAAGTTGGATTCCCAGTTAAGGATATTTTCAGAGAGGAAGGTATGCTAGAGATAAAAATAAATGGGACTTGGTGGATTTTGAATAGCATTATTCGACTGTAGTCTAGGGAAAACAGAGAGGGCAAATGGAAATAGGCCATGCCGAATAACAAACAGTATTGTATGTAATTTTCATAGTTGAAATCACAAACCTATCAGGACCGCCATTAGAAACTTGATGGCACAAAATGGCCTAGTATGGGACTCCTCAAAAGCGTGCATGATGGAGTCGAACCCAGGACCCTAATTCTCACATCCGAAAGTTTGATTTCGGCCGGTGAGTCGGTTTCCAGAAGCGGTAATGTCCAATTTTAATCAACCCTTCATACTGCGCGACCATCTGCCATTATCTTATAATGAGTAACTGTTATTTTGACAGATAAATAGTTTTTACGCATAATATCATCATCACAGAAACAACCAACTACATACCTGATCAACATTTAGGAACTAAACTAAAGGAAAAATGTCTGATTTTGAATCATCGATTGAGAAACTGTCTGATCTACTGTTAGCTAGCAAATGAGTCACTATATTTTTTTTTGAAAAAGAGAAGAGATTTTGTCGCATTTCAAATAGATTAAAAAACTTGTCATTATTTTAATGGGAATTACATATTGACTTAGATCACTAGACCCGTGATTGACATGATAGACATTTTGGGTTTGGAGCAATATGATGAATATGACCAGTTGTTTGACCTTTATTTAAAATGTGACTTTTAGCAAACAAGTTTAACTTTTGAATACTGTAAAACTAACTGAAAATACTTCAGTACTTCGCATTAAGCGAATTCATTTTGCTCAATGAAAATTACTAATGGTGGTAAACTTGAGTAATGCATATAATGATTTTAAGAAAAATTATTACTTAAAGCTTATCGAAAACATAATCTGGAAAAGTCACATATAATACATAACGGTGCAAATTACCAAACTACAACATTTCCTAGTGGTCCTCATGTTTTGAACTTGACAAGTTGAAAGTTTTGTTATTTACTAGTCATTAAAGGCTTAAAACTAGTTCATCATGTACTCTCATAGGGAAGTGAAATGTTGTAGGAAATTAATTATCAGAATACAGTGTTGCTTCGTTTATTGGTATATAAATACAGCTGTTCATATTGCTCCGTTTATTTTGACGAGCACTGTTGATATAACTTTTAAATTCAAATGAAGAAAACTAGCTTTCATTGATTTCCTTCACTAATAAACATTACAATTAACTGTCTATCTTGTACTTGTATCCATTATCTTACATTCATTTTAAGTTCTCAATCGTACATTAGTGAACTCCTCAACCATCTGACATTTTGTAACCAGTTGATTGTTTCCTTCACTAAAATTACTGAGGATGAGGACATAACCATTATGTTACTCCGATATATGCACCTAGAACCTGAAATCAATAGCTTAGATATGACTAGTTCGTTCTAATTGTTAAACATTGCTTTTTGCTTTACTTCGGATCAACATCATATTTTCATGTTACATTATTTCACTTATTTGGCAGGAAAAAATCAGTTTAGCTATTTGTAAAGAAGGTACAGAAGATCAAATGGTGGAAACTCATTTTTCAAATACAGTATCTGTACATAGGTATCTTTTGATTTACGTTTTATCTCTTTCAAGTGGAAGCCATTGTAAAATCAAAGTAGAACATTTCCTTTCAGTCTAAATGTGCTTTTTTTATATGTTGTCTTCAATAAATAACTGACTACTTTATGTGGACGTATTTTTCCATACTGGCGAATTTCTGGATTTTTGTCAAATTTTGTAAAACCAATGAAATATTTAATTGTATTCGTTTCAATTATAAATTTATATTTAGTAAAGAAATTCTTTTTGTTTTCCCATGTTAAATGAGACTCAACTGCGCATTAGTTTATGATGATTATGATTTGGCACTAAACGGGCATTGATAAATTTATATAGATTGAAAATAATATTTCGAATGTATCAGCAGTGTTCAATTCAATATAAAGAGAAGCTAAGAACAAAAACAAAAAGTTTGGTTTAAATTTCACCAATTCTCAAACTAATTCAGTCTCAAAACATCATGCCCGACTTTCTCTAGATATTGGATCACAAATTCTGTTACATTCCACTTAGTAGGTCTCCATTTGGGTATCTGTATCCCAATTTATTATGATTACAACTGGTCACTCATAATAGCTCTCTGGTATAGACTAATAACATTGTAAGTAAACAGATTCTAGGTAACTACAAATTAATCAAGCTGAAACGTATTCGTTTGTGTATGTTTATGTAATATGATATTTATTGAAGGGACTTTTAGTTTTCGGTTATTTATTGCAATGGTTTTTTTTTCGTAGATGATGAACATTTTCGTTCGGGTGGTTGACTCAGAGACTACTAGGAAATCTTAACTAAGCTACAGACATAGCCAGTCATAAAGCATCAAAAACTTCTGGTTACATTTAAAGTTTTCTGCTGTTTGCCGTTCGGCCATCGCTTCATTTAACGATCAAGCTCATATTTCCCATTGCTGCTCTTTACGATAAGTTCTTTTATAAATCATAGATATATCTACGTATTAGATAACCGCTGTCACTTACTTTTCTCTAGTCTCCTAGATCTATCTCAAAGCCGATAAATAGTCCTCTTTCTTTGTCACTGTAAAATCTTCAAAGCCAATCACTTTGTTTTAAGGCCACTTACTAAGCAGTTTAAGGTCCTAAATAACTATGCGAAACTTATTAGAAATCAGTCCGCTGAAAAACGATACCTTTGGCTTTTTTTCTAATGAAGTTTACCATACTTCTGCATCGTAACCGACGAGTAGTAATTTAACCAAAGAAATAGGTAGTTACAGTCCTCATATTAAAGTTTAGAACATTGGAGTATTTAGGGAAATCAGTTTCAACTTAAGCTAAGATCGCACTAATCATTATTTTTTGACACTATAGTCTAACTATTCTTATCGCATTTTAGCTAGCGAATGAAAAATAATGTTTATTCAGATCAACATAACTTTAAATCTGTCAATGTACAAATTTTTGAAGTCAAATTAGTTAGTTTACAACCTGTGTTCAAATTCGAGAACAATATGACATTCATCCTTTAAAGTGATATTTTAAGGTTTATTTTATTACACACTACATAATTTTAGAAAAATTTATATGTTTGTTAAACATGCTAAACATGGAGTGTGAAAATATAACTTGTGAGACTAACATATGAGGGATTATCTACGTACATTTTTATCGCCTACTTAGTAAACGATTGTATTGTTGTATTTTTACATCCTCCTATTTCTAGGCTTTAGTTTGACTTATAGGTCGTTGTTACGTCTTGCTCACTATTAATTAACTAGGTTTTTAATACCCTGATTTTGTATCAAATGACAAAATTACACGAGCATTATGATTTTTCTGTGTTGCTTTGTGGTCAGACATCTCAGGTATATTATTGTGTGAGTTTTAAGTCACGTTTGAGCCACTTACAACAGGGAGCCAGTGCGCATTCTATCTTCGTCTTCTGACTGAATGTCGAGTTAGAAGGAACTTGAGGACCAATAAGCACTAAGGTATTTGTTGTTGTTTAATGGTCATTGTATTAATTAGTAGACTGACGGTTACCGGTCCTACAGATAATGTAGTACAGCTAAGTGATAGCCGGACTACAGAAATTGTATAACTGCTCTCTTGTAATTACAACCTCATTACATGAACATAAACATAATACCAACCATCTATCTATTTTTCTGTGATATAGCTTTACCAACACTACTGAGGTTTAATCCATAAATTTACTTTATTTTAGATTTAAAACAACTAAGTGTGGGAAATGGCTGACTACTCTCTAGCTACTCAGAAGGCATAGTGTTTTTGGTTTAAAACAGATAGGGGTACTTCAATCCTCTTTCAATTTTAACTCTGATAAAACAATTTGGATAGCTAGTTTTGTATTTGAATGGTGACTGGGAGCTATATTTATTTATTTAAAAATTATCAATTAATAATATAAAAATTCTAAGCATACATTAAATACCGTTGAATATATTGCTTATTGATACTTATAATTGGCTTTGAATCCATCTGTAGCCCTCAGGTTATATCTCAGGTTCCAAATCAGAATAAAAGAGGAGGGTTGAGGTTTTGGTTGAAAACATCACAAACCAAAGCAGTGAATTCAGATAGGAAAGCAAACATAAAGATGTCAAAGTTTTCCTTAGAAAGATTAAGGATGAATGACAGACAGACCGGAAAGAGAGATACTGTGGTGTTTGAATGAACTAGTGACTTCTTGGTTGTTGTTGAATGCTTGATTTCGAATTCTAAATACAGTATATTCGTTTTTGCTCATCTTGTAGTTCTTGATTCACATACTTCTAATTATCATACTGGCGTCGCGAGTAGGATTTGTAATGGAACAGTTAGATATTCATTCTACTTCTGAAGCTTTTGAAGATTATTTGGAAAGGTTTGAAATCTGGAGTATGACCAAGAAAGATGTTAAAGATGATAAAATTGTGGCTCATTTCCTGACATTCATCGGAAAAGAAGCGTACAGCTTGTTAAAAACTTTGGCATATCCAGAAAAACCTATCTCACTTCCCTATGCAATGCTTAAGGAGCTATTATTAAATCATGTAAAGTGCCCTGGTTTTGAATGCCGTGAAAGGGCGAAATTTCATAAGATGATTCGTCAAAATGACCAAAATGTTAAGGAATTCATTCTTGAATTGCAGAAACAGGCTGTCAAATGTAATTTCGGTGATCAACTTAATGTGCAGCTGAGAGACCGATTATTTGCAGGAATTAACATACCCAGTTTGGAAAGAGAGCTGTTAAGAATGTCAAACTGTTCCTTTCAAGATGTTAGAACTGCGTGCATTAACTACGAGGCGTTGAATGAACTTGATATTCAGTCGATGAAGATTTCCAATACTTTGATTAGTTGTCATGATAAAAAACAATCTCAGGGTCGATCAAAATTGTGTTCGTTTAACAGAGGTTCCTATTCTCGTGTAAATATGAACGGTGTTTCAATAAAGAATTACAAAGGAAATCACAAAGGTGAGGCCAAGTTTGGCAAATGTTTATCATGTGGAAAACTTCATTCTCGTAATTCATGTGCATTTCGTAATGCTAAATGTTTTAGATGTGGTAAGATAGGACACATTCAAGCAGTATGCAAAGCTACTGTTCATTTTGCCTCAAGTAGTACTAAATCTTGTAATTTAGATCCCAATAATTCAGCTGATCCTAATGATTATTTATCTTTGTCTTCCATTGCAAAAGGTAATGCTTATATTCAAAAGCGATTATATACATCAATTGGTTCATGTCATGACTTTATTGTGAATAAGGTGGTTAACGATCTTGAAGGTGTTGAAGTTTATCAAGATGATCTGATTGTTCATGGTGCTGATAAGGGAGTTCTTGACCAGAGACTTATTGCCTTATTGCGTCGTTTAATAGAAAAGAATATTACAGTAAATCCAAATAAGTTTTCATTTTGAGTATCTAGTTTTGAATGTCTTGGATACCTAGTTGATGGTAATGGTTTTAGACCGGATATGAAACGACTAGCTCCACTGACAAATGCACCGTCTCCGAAAAATCTTACGGAACTACGTTCACTAGTGGGTGCTCTTCAATACTATTCCCGTTTTTTTCCTAATTTTTCTTGTCGTGCAAATTGTTTATTTAATATTTTGACATCCAATTCATTCAAATGGGGTGAGGAACAAGAGTCATGCTTACGTAGTCTACTAAAGTTCCTGCAAAGTGATGCTGTTCTTCGAACTTACTCCCCTAGTGTACAGTCTGTGCTTATCACTGATGCATCACCTGTGGGTATTGGCGCAGTTTTGGAACAGGAAGGTAGACCAGTTATTTGTTTCACGGAAACTTACTGTTACTGAACAAGGCTATTCACAGACTCAGCGAGAGGCATTAGCTGTGTTTTGGGCTGTTAAAAGACTTCATAAATATTTATTCGGAAAGAAATTCACTATTGTTACTGATCATGAGGCTTTGCAGTTTATTTATCATCCTGAAAAATCCTTAGCACGTGCCTCAGCTGCTATGGTTCAACGATGGAGTATTGCTTTGGGTGCCTACGACTATACGGTTCAGCACAGGAGTGCCAAACAAATTCAACATGTTGACTACATTTCTCGACAACCATTACAAGATAAACCTGTTAATACTTCAGACTGTTTGTTGGTGCTACCCTTACCAGTGAAACGTCGAGATCTCATTAGAGGAACTCGTAGAAACTTTGGATGTATAATTAATGCTATACTGAAAGGTTGGAATGCTAATCTGAAACGTAGATTCCCTATCTATTTTTCAAAGCGGGATGACCTATCCACTACTCCTGATGGTATTTTGTGTTTAAATGATCGGGTTGTTATTCCTCCTTCATTGCGTAAAGCTGTCCTGGAAGATCTTCATAGTGGACATTTAGGTGTTGAGAAAATGAAGTCATTGACGAGGCCCACGTGCTGGTGGCCAGAGATAAATGCAGATATTTGTCGTACAGCAAACAATTGCGTAGTGTCATAAGCTGAAAAATCAGCATTCGAAGTGGTCTTTATGGCCAGTATCGTCGGAGAACTGGCAGAGAATTCATGCAGACTATTGTGGCCCGTTTCTTGGCAAATACTATGCGCTTATAGTCATTGATTCTTCTTCAAAGTAGCCTGAAGTTTTTTTCATAACTTCACCAAATTCTGACTTCACAATTCAAGCATTAAGAAAGGTGTTTAGTCGAGAAGGGGTTCCAATGGTGTTGGTGACTGATAACGGCACTCA